CTGGGGGGCCATCTCAAATTTAGCTTAGTACTGCAAGCAAATATTGACATGGAGTATCCTGAAGCACTGCCTGCCATAAATAAAGTACTGTGATCTTAATTAAGAGAGAGAGATTTGTGGTTTCTGCATTAGATATTATTACAGAGAAAAAGGAAAAGATCTTGTAAAAATCTACTAATTTTTAAATTAAAAAAATTTAAATTAAAAAAAAAAAAGACAGTAAAAATCTAGCCATAGCTGTCAAAACAGGATCTGACATGTACCAAATAGTTCAATATATTTGGATTCATCCTTAGTGCCAAGTTGCCATTTTTGTTGCTACCTTCTTCTACAGTGCAAAAAACATGAGCCCTGAACTGGAAAAGAAGTATCTCCCCCCCCCAACACTAGAATGAAGAGATATGACTATAGTGTGGGGGGGAGTCAGCCATCCATTTGGACAGCAAAGGATTCTAGTAGCATGGACAAGGATAACTGGGAATCCTGGCTTGAGCTCTTTAGAAAATCAGACTTCTCTTACTTATTGTGATCCACCCATTATGAATAAATATGTGATCTTTCAGGTGGGTCTTCTTCCTTTTACTTCTCATTTGGGTCACAATTTAGACAGAAGAATCAGCCGTGCTCAGAGAGACCAGCAGCCAGCACATTTTTCAGAAGTGCTAATAAAAAAAAATATTGTTCTGACTACCTCACAGTGTAACAGTGGTGAGAAGAACCTTTCAGCTGGGAGGGCAGCATATGTTTTTTTTCGGCAGGTTTCAGCATCAGTGTTTCTGCCATCAGCTACGACTTTATGAATGCAAATCACCAACCTCCTCTTCCATCAAATAGCTACTTTGTGAGAAGCAGGATTACTCTAATTAATGCCAATATGGATCAGGATCACTTCCAAGAGCAGCAAATCCAGACATTTGCTGCTGCTAGTAACACCAACAGTCTCTAAATTAGCACTCACAAAGCTACATGCTGCAATTGCAACCCAAATGTGATATAGCCAGTTTTAAACTACAAAATGTCTCCTAATTTCTCACATAGTTTGGGATGCTATTGACATGGGCTGGCGTCTGTATGAATCAAACTGTGACTGCAAGGAGCTACGAAGAGAAGCCTTTACTGCAGTGCAATTCCCTGTGTGCACAGAGGATGCCTGGCCATGGGGGACAAGGTCAGATGGCTCTGAACAGGAAGCTCTGTCAAGTCCTAAACACTGGAAGCAAGAGATTTGAGTGAAATACATTGGAAAGATATGAAAGGCAAGTAGATTTGCTGAGCTTCTGCTTTGATCAGATCGTTCTGGTGACAGCTACTGGTACACGCAAGGATCCATCAAGCTTCTGGTTTAACTGTGGTGCCAGGAATCAATGTTTCAAATTGTCAGCAGCAGCACAGGATATTTAAGAGGAAACATGAAGTCTTCTGGCCAGCCTGTTGTCACAGGGTTATGGTCTAAGACTGTGCAGGAACACATGTTTGTGCAGTGTTTAACACGATAGCATGATTTGACTGGAGCTGCACTGGTTATATGTACTAAGCTTTTCCTCCTCTTATCATCACACAGTTCCATGGAAGTGCCATTGATGTAACTGAAGACTTTCCAGAGAGTCATGACGGATGAAAAACTGCAAGTGAAGATTGCCTTACTTGGAAATAAAATTCAGTCCCAGACAGCTACAGTGTGGAGACTGGAAAGTTTACAGGTTCCCTGGCGTTTCTCAGAAGGTAAATTCAAGAATAAGGTAGGCTTTTCAGAGCTTTCTGCCAGCAGCCAGCACCTTGGCGAAACGTACTTACTAAGGACTCCAAAAAACTGGGGATGGCTGGGAAGGGGAGCTATCAAAGGCTATACACTAGATTTACGATTGAGTCAACCACCCAAAGAACTCTCAGCTCACTATTTAAAGGACTTAAGGTCATTAAAGTTTGTAAAGACAGACTGTTTTCTGAACAAGGACTACCATGGGCTTCCGTGTGGTGTGTGTCAGTGGCTCCAGATCCAACCTGCTCAACCTACAAGGATACTTCTTTCTAATTCCCAGCTTTGCAGTTGAGGTTGGAAGGCTCTACAGTTTGTCTATTATCTTGATTTTTTTTTTTTTTTTAATGTAAACACTCTGCAGAACCTATTAGAACCTCATTGCCATTTATACAACCTATTCTTCAGTGAGGTAGACATAAATATCAGATTAGATGGTAGTAAACAGTTCTCTCTATCCTGCCTCAGAAGAAACAGAATCCAGCTTGTTCTTCTACAGCTGTGTTGATTTTATAAGGCTTAACGGCAGCACATAGGGTGGTAAAGCTTATTTGCCACTAAACTGATTTGGCTCTGAATACACACAAGAAATAGATCAGCTAAGTTGGAAGGTATCATTCCTATAGGCAATTTTTGGGTTGCAACTGCATTTTAAATGAAAAGGTTTTGATTTTCACAAGGTAAATTTAATCTGATGAACAGACAGGAAAGACTTCATGGAAACCAGTTACACATTTTCGACAATAGAAATGCCCGTTTCCCTGATGAAATGGGTGGAAACAAAATATTCCACCCCAACGTGCATTTTAACTTTATTATGAGCCAAATTATTTTCTTCTATTGTGAAATACTAAGAGCTGGCAGCAGTTTTCTTGTGTGCACAGGTAGGGTTGATACAGCAGCTGTTATGTCATTTGGATCTTGGCAGATCCTGTGACATACCTCTGCTGTTCAACATTAACTTGTTTTTCAATGCCAATGGCTATACGCAAAATCACTTCTCAGATTGATGACCACTGCTAGCAGAAGACGAGATAACATTTAAAGGACTAAATAAATTTGCCTTGCTGTTAATTACAACATTCACTGGTTTATAGCGGGTGAAAAGATATTCCTCATTTCCACCAGAGCTTTCACATGGCCGAACCAGGCATTAACGCACACGATTAGCTCTTCCTGCTCCAGTGTTAATGACTGCCTGTGCTCACTCTCAGAATATAGAGCAATGATGAGGTAAAAAAAAAAAAAACAACAAACCACATAGTATAGCTTTTCTTACACTATTTGTTGTTACTAGATGAACACTGTGTCAACTTCACAGGGGGCTGCCCATCCTCAAAGTCATAGAGGAAATTTTGCCAATAACAGGCTAAATGCTGGCATCGTTCCCTTCCACTCCCCTGTCTAAATAGTGGGTGAGCTCTCCTGCTCACGAAATAGCTTTTCACTCATATAGGAGGGTGGAATTCAGCGTGGCGCAGTCACCACTGCTTATGCTGTGCGTGAGCACACCAACAGATATGTGATTTAAAGGAAGCAGCTCCATTAAACCCCTATAACCCATCCCTTCTCTTCCCTGGGTGTATGTATGTGTTCTGTCTGTGCTGTAGCTGTCAGAAAATAGCCTCCCTGCTGGCCTTCACCTTGTCCTCTTTGTCCCTTCTTGGATTGATGCTGACACTGTGACAGCTGGAGGGCCTGCCTGCACTGGGAGTGAGCAGTAATGCTCTCTACCCAGAGAACGCAGAGTACTGGCTGGTTATCTGTGTAGCTCAATTAATTTGCAAGCCATCAGTAGAATCAGCATTTCAATATTTTTCATATGATGTGAATGCCAGATCCAGGCAAGAAACAAAGGCTTGAGGGAGAAGAGGGATTTGCTGCCTGATGCTTTCAAGAAGAATCTGGAGGTCTGCCTACAACTTAAGTGAGTCTTCATGAGGAGATCAGAAATGGTATAACCCAAAAAACTCAAATAAGAAGTCAGATGAACTCCTTTCAGAGCAAAGGAAAAACTCTCACCAGCAAAGCTGCAACTTAAGGGAAAGAGATCATGTGAAATACAGGAAACAGGCCAAATTCTGCCTCAGTCACCCGTGCATAAACCTAATATAGTCTCCATCGTGACAACTTTCCTTTGTTGTTACAGACTCCACAACAACTCCAGAACAACCTTCCTCTCAGTTTACGAAGAGATGACGCAGGAGTCGCAGGACCAGCTGGAGAGCGGTACCAGCTCAGTGCTCACTTCCCCAACAGCTCGTGTGCCCTTTCACAGAGATCTCGGAATTCAACCTAGATACCAGAATGGAAATCTAAAGAGATCAGAGTTCTCTTGTACAGAACCTTTCTGGACAAGTAGTAAGACAAAACCCTCTCTTATAGTATTTGGGTATTTCCACTGTTGTATTTGGAGGAGTCAGTAGGGGCACAGATAACGAAAGAAAGAATACAATCCATGTGTGGATAGAGGGGAGGGAAGGCAAGGGACAAGTTAGCCAAAATTCATGGAACCTCAAGCAAGTTGAGCTGCAAGTTTTGCAGGAAACTCTTCTTTTTTCTCATGCCTAGCAGAATTCTGAATCTCCAGTAGGTTCACTACTCCTCCAGCTAAACATACAACATCCTTCCCCAAGACCAGACTGGAACTTTGACAGTTTACACTAGCTAAGTGTCTGACAGATAATATGCAGTGTGCCTTATGGAAGATTTAAAAGGGTCTTACCCCAAGTATATCTGGGGAGGAAGGGGGTGGATGCAAAATGGAATTAAGTAACAGCAATCCTGTCTCAATAAATAGCAGGAAACCAATGGAGACAGCAGCTAGCAGGGCAGCATTCAGCTTCACTGCAGAAAAGGGACTGAAGAATCATGAGTCAAAGGCAGCAAGTAAACAAAAGAGGAAAAAAAAAAACAGGAAAGAAAAAGAAAATCACTGGCCTGGGTTACGGTGAGGGAGGGAATCTCAAGTGCAACACCACACACTTGGGCTATGAAGGGGAAAGCTGTGGGGGAGCCTGTGCATCTCTGCATGGATGGGGAGGAACAGAATAAGGGGTATATGCTTGTGTCCACCAGGTAAGTGAAAGACATAGTGGGCCGTTACGGGGTGGGTAGTCTTGAGAAGAGCGTGGGAGAGCAGGGATAGGGAAGGGGAACGGGTGAAGGGACAGGACGGCGCATTATTATGTTGCTCAGCAGGGGCTGGGGAAGGAGAAAAGGCAGAAGGGAAGGAAGTTCTTACCACATTTGGAAAGTCTGCCAGTCATCAACTCCATACAGTTAGTGGTGTCTGGATCATAGAGCGGAAAGAGGAGGGAGGGAGGGAAAAACATAAAAAAAGGTTTCCATACCTCTGTGCATAAAGTAGTAACTTAGCACATTATTACCTGAAGCAGGAAACATATACACATCTTGGTCTTTACACAACCCAGGCCAAATTCTGCCACCCACTGTATGCCAGTGCAAAGCTGGCCCTGTGACTGAGAGCGGACACTGCTTCGGTCCCACTGCTTTCACCCACCTCTTTACCACAGCTACAGGTATTTATGAGATGTGGGAAATATTCTGCCACCACCTGAGCAAACTAAAAGCCTTGAATACTTTGTGTCACCTGGCCAGCTTTGCAAGTTAGCCTGCAACAGCCAGGAAATGCCCAGCCAGCTGATCTACGCACAACAAAAACCTGGCGAGAGGGAGGAAATGCAGCACTGTGCTATTGGACACGGAATGAGAAGGCTACTTACACAGCTCAGAAATGTCTTTTAGACCCCAAAGGGTAACGTCCAAGTTCTCAACATAACCCTGCCTCTCTCGTCCACGTGTAGCCTCTTACTCCTCTTGCTTTCAACATCACTATTCGCAAGGAATAGAATTCTGGAAAGGGTGGCAGAATATGGCCCTAAGACATTACTTTGTGTACAGCTCCCATTGCCACAGCCTCTGGGTGCTCCTTACTCAGGGGCGATACGCAGAAGGAGCTCTGCGTGTCAGCTTTACAGCAGAAAGGACCAGCTCAGCTGGACGCTTCCATGTGGAACGTGCTGGCGAGGCAGATCTGCTGCTGTCAGCCAGGATTCCCTTGCATTTGGGATCTAAATCACTGTGTCCACGAGCGCTGGGCCCAGTGGAGCACTCGCCGTTGAGCAAGTGGCTAACAGTTAAAGCACTCAGTTCAGTCTCAGATCTCCTCTCGCCCGGCCTCTCAACGAACACTTGCGTATTCAAGAAATAGGCTGCTTGGAAATACGCACACGTATGCTGGAAGCTTCTCACTGCTAGCAAGCTCTGACTACTCCCTGTCTGCTGAAAAGTCTGCAGGAGGGAGGGAAGGACGATTTGTCGGCATTCCTCTCCTTAAATACTGAGAAAAGTAATTTCAAAAAAGGCGGAAGGGGTGCTGGATATGCCTAGGTGAGCTGAACCCATACGTATGTTTTCTGATGCAGGCAGGCCTGTGCTGCACAGATCATCTGGGAAAGCATGGAGCGGGGAGAGCAGGTGCTTGGTCCAGTGGCACTGGTCAAAGCATCTAATACCAGTTATATGCTCTCCATCCCTGAGGTTAGAGGTGGGCTGGCAGAGGTCAGTGGGAGATGATACCCATGGAAGGTTTCTCAGAAAGGCACAAGGCTGAGAGAAAGAGAAGGGGAAAAGGAAGGAGGTGAAGGAGAATAGAGGATTCAAGAACTGGAACAAGGTACCAGAGGTGTCAGACAGGCCCAGAGTTTACCTGCCTTTGAAATTCTTAGGCTAGTCTGACCGAGTAAAGGCAGGTTAAGCTCCCAAAATACATTTCTCCCCCAAGATGCTTAATAACTCTAAAAAGTGCCTACAGCTGCTGATTGAGCCAACGACCAGAAGTCACAGTCGCAAGTTTGTATAGCTTTTTTTCTTTAACAACTTGGAGAAGTTTGTTGTCTCATGACTTTTAGTGAGTGGTTCCTGTCCAGCCCCCTCCGCGTCAAGTACCCCTTGTTGTAATGCAGTGTAATACAGATCCATAGTGGTAGAGCTACAGAGCATTCACCCAATCATCAGCAGAACTGTTGCTCTGAAAGAACACCTAAGAGCAAGGAAAGACTCCAATATGACTGAAAGATTGTTTCTGACTCCCACCTCTACCACCAGGAATTTTCCCTTTAAGTGTATCCAGACTGACTGGCTGCACAGTAACTAGCAGTCAGGAAACAAAAAAGGTAGTATTTGCATAATGTCAGAGTAGGTAAACGTTGTGGCTGGTTTACTAAGGTTCTCCTGAAATTGGTATTTCTGCTTCCTTGTTAACAAATTAAAAATAATCATGTCTCCTCAAGTCATTATTTCGGAATACTGTCTTTTTTTCTAAGTCACCTGCAGTCAGCATAGCTCTTTTTAGTATTTCATTTCAAGCTAACTGTGTAACAGGTCTATGTACATTAACTATGTGATTAGAATGCAAACTGACAGATCTACAGCAGGAATAACGGACTGTAACATACACTTTTTGTCAGCATAACATCTTGGGCTCTGTACCCCATTTTGTTCCTAAAAAACTACATTTGCAGGTTATAGAATTGTTTTTGATGGATAGGGAAAAATACAATCCTTTTTTTGAAATATAAGACCATGGAAAAACATCAAAGAAATACTAATAAAACCTCTAATTTCTCTTTCTTAAAACTTTTAGGCACAACTATAATTTGCATTCTCTATCTTGCCATGGCCAGTCTCAGGAACTGCACAGGAATTTATTTTTATTATTCATGTCTTTCCAAGACACGATCGGGTTGTTTTTCCCCCATTCCTAAGGCATAACAAACATGAGCACACCCGGAACAGTAGCTCGTATCGCATTGCCTGAAAGAATAACGGAGTTAATATGCCTTCAGCTTCTCTGTATAATAATTACTTCAGTACTTCTTTCATTTCCATCATATTGTAACATCTGCTTTCGTAAATACTCTATATGATAAAATATTTCATCATTTTAAAGTAGAATTTTCATTCTAATTAGAAAGCCTTAGATTCTTGGCAGCCAGCTTCTGCTCTTGGATAATAATCCATAATGCCGTGACTGTGGGATCCAGGTGTTATGTGAGCTGAATAAAGCCAGGGTCCAAAGGCCTTTAGCTGCCTGAGAAGCGTCGGTGGGTCATGTAACTGCATTTTTAATGTGTGCTGTTTAATTTTTTAATTAAAGCATAGTGGCGGTGTCAGATCTCAATTCTTCTGATGATAAGGCAATTCCTTATTTCACAGAGATTGCTGGCAGTCACTCACGCTTTGGATTTGACCAAGACTCTTTCAGAAATGACACCCAGTTCAGTTCATTAACAGATGGCAAATGCTTTGGTTAAAGTATGACCTTCTTTCAAAAGGCTAAACAAGCTCTGTATCCATTAAAAAAATGCTAGTGTTCTGCTGAAATTTCTTCCCCGATTTTCTGTTTTCTTTAATTTCCGTGTTTCTATTCTACGTAAATTTTACAATCAAGCTGCCTGGTTTGTGATGCTTCTGGTATCTCTGAGACTGAGACTTGTCCCAGCCCAGGAAATCTCACCCAAACAGCTGCTCCTCCGAGATCTCCAAATCCAGGGCTAGATGCCAGAAAGCACTGAGCATCTCCTGCCAGATGCTCATAGTCCCCAGTACACGTTCCCATTAAGGGAGATGATGTCAAGGGAGCCACCAGTTCCTTTGGTCCGAGGCAGTCATCATCTAGATTCAAATTCCCCAGCGTTTGGGTGCTTACTTGAAATTCACTGTTTTCCTATCAAAACTCTGGAGAGCTTGGACTTTTTTCTACACGCTTGATTTCAGGACTACTCAGTTAATTTTAATGAAGTCTGTTTAGCAATAATACTAAAGCTGTTTAGCAAAAAACCAGCGCTCTGCCAATCCAACCAGACATTACATTTGTAGGTGGGAACCATGATATCAAGATGAAGTGATTGTCCCAGACACTACAAGAGTGGCAAGATGTAAAGGATCACACAGGAATGCAGGAAACAGGATAAACCTGGGACCTGGATGATCCCCGGATAAAACTGACGTGTGGTCCAATTCCAAGCTGGTGTTTACACAGCCCTGTTTTGAGTCTCTAGCTGGAAGTTTACCTTGCAAAGCACTTCATTTGCTCCTTATTCCCTTTCCTGTCTTGGTGTTTTAATCCTTCGCACATTGGGAAACTGTAAGTTTCTTACTCGTTTTTTTTTTTTGTTTTTTTTTTTTTTTTCCAGCAAATTAGCCAACCTACAGCTCTTGTGAGCCATAAAGATGAACACCCAGAATTCACAAATCCATACTCTAGCAAAGATTTTTGAGTCACATGAACGTGCCTTGCTTTTTGAGACGTACACCAGAACAGTAAGAGAGCTTGGGTGCGTATACAGAAGATACACACAATAAGCAAGAATTTGCACTGCCCTAGTTTGAAGCTGGATATGGTCTCTAAACACTTGCTTATGCTGATGGAAGGCATTTTCAGCAGTAACGCTGAGATGCTCTGAACTTTGAGATGCCAATGGTTAAGATCTGATGTGAAGCCAATAAATCTAACAAACAGAAAACCTATCACAAAGAAGTTATGAAGGCTATTTCAGTATTGCTGATTGCCCAGAACACGGGGAAATGGGAAAAAATAAGAATATGCAGCACCTCACACTTAAAACCAAAGCCCAAAGAGGCAAGAAAATATTAGGGAAATAAAAATTGATACCCTGTGAATGATCACAGATGGCTTTTGCATGTCCCTATTCACCAGCTGTTTCTATTAGTCTTTTGTGCAAAGGCACTAGAGGAAAACAGATTATGATTTAATGGAAAGAGTATTGGGCTGAAACAAAGGCACAAATCTGAGATATTTTCCTCTATGAAGAGAGATCCTTTTATCCCACCGAAGGGCAGTCCTGTCCAGGGATTACCTAAGCAGAGACTGTGAGTATAAAGCTCCTGGATGGAGCCATACGTGGAGGAGAGACAAGGCCAGCTGCTCTCACAGACAGCGATACTCACTCTTGGTCCAAAAGGGACCGTCCTTTCACAGCCTCGCTGGGCTTAACGGATTCTGTGATACCAGGAAGAAGAACACGTGGACAGCTACTCTGGTGCAGACCGAAGGCCAAAAGCATCCAGCGCTCTGCCTCCAACAGCAGGCACACACAGACACGCAGGAGTGGGACAGCAGGCCAAGCACACAGAACACCTCCTCCTAACGCTGCCTCACTCTCACCACTTGCAGGTCAGAGATTTCCCGAGCCTGCTGCGGTTTCTCTGTTTAGCAATCCTCATGGAGAGATCTCTTCCCGGGTGTTGTTCTTCTTCCCTGTGAGTAAGAAGTACTCAGGGGAAGATGAACACCTGCAAGCTCCTCACATTCAGAACCTGCTTCAGCGAGGAGTTTCGCAGGTCTTACATTACATGAAGACATGCCTTCCAATATTTTTTCGGTCCATGGCTTCCACTACTTCCATATGATGGCCTCCAGTTCTTTCACTGGGAATTAAAAATGAACAATCAATCCCTATCCACTTGTTCTATGCCAGTCATGAGTCTCTAGACCTGGTATTGTCTCAGCAGTTATACCACAGAGGATTCAATGTCCTGAAACACTAAGGTAAAAGGCTGACACGTTGCACTAAATTTGGCCAACTGGACGGTAGATTTTAGAAATATTACATTAGTTTTTGGGATAGGTTGCAATTATTTACACTCTTATTCAGGTAAGGGAGGGAAGCTAGTTTCCTGCTTCAGAGTATATTGGAAGAAATAAGCACAGCCAGACTTAGGAGGAAATATGGAAGTGAATGGAGGAATATCCAGGGGGAAGGGAGATTATAAGGTGCTCAAGTGCGACACAGAAACACGTCTGCCTAAATCAGGTACATATCAGGCTCACATACACACACACACACAGATGCATGGGCAACACGACATCTACAAACATTGTTGTGAGCTGGAGGAAATGAGAAAGAGGAAAGTGCGTTCTGAAACCCAGGCAAGCCGGCTTAGTGGGCTGACATGCTGCATAACGGATCAAAGAGGGGCAGGAGAGAGAATGTCAGTGCCATATGCTTCTTAGGCCTTGCTGTTCTGCTTTATACTGTGCTCCCTGAGTCTTCCCCTTCTGCAGGTCTCACTTTACCTGCATGCACCTTCCACAGATGGTTTTCACCATCCCACCTCTAACGGCACCTGAACTAAAAAGCAGGGGAGGCAACTGCACAGAGGATATGAGCTAGGAAAATCTCCAGTGCTGGGTCAGTACTACTGGCCAGAGCCAGCAGCATCCTCAGAGCCATGGAGGAGGAGAGTCAAAGTAAACCGTGAGCTCGTTCTGTCACAGCAGGGGACTGCTGACAGAGTATCCTCAAATCATGAACCTGAATAGGAGTCCAACCACCACAATTCCCGTGAGGTGTTCAGTGCTGGGAATATGGGAGAAGAAGAAAACCAGAGAAGACTTTGCCTTGTTTCTAGTGAGAAATGCTGAGGAATTCCACTGCAATTTCTCGGAAGCTCTTGCACACATCTTCCCAACCACAGCCACCCAGATAAAGCGAGGTGCTGAACGTGAACTCTTGCTGTCCCTTTATCCCTTAATTTCCCCTTACTCTTCTCTGGCTGGGGATGTGAACCACAGGGCCTCCCTTATTTGATGACAGGTTGTCCCTTCTTGGTAACAATCCTTTTTCTCCCTCTTCCTTTTCTCTTTTCCTTGTACTCTGCTCCATACTAAATTTTTCAAGTTGAATTACCCCTCTCCTTTTCAAGAGACTTGAATATTCCTGATCAGGCACCCTGTCTCTTGTGAGCCGCCTTGCCTGGATAACTCCCTGGCTGAGGGAATTCTCATTTTTAAGTTTCAAGAGACCATTTGTTTTAGTTTTGCTTCATGTGGAGTTATCCATTCCACTCTGGTGTTAAAGATCAGGCTGGGTTTTCCCTGCTAGAACGACATGCTCTCATGTAGCTTCAGGCAGTAGGAAGAGATTCTGTGTCTATAATATGATTTTTCCATTCCAGAACCAGAGCGAAACTGTAAGTCAGATACATTTCTCACAGCACGGTTTGCCCTAAACATCTCCCTGAGCCTTAGTCACATCAATGGTTTCTATTCCTGCTATAATATGACTTTGTTAGGGAGATATGCTGCTTCACATGCAAGTATGCAACAGGGTTCAAGTCTTTCTTGAGAGCCTCAGTAGCTAGCATATACTAGGGTGAAGATGTTAAGAGAGATCACCATGTTATTTACTCTTTTAACAGTTTTTTCCTCACCAGAACATAATGGTACGCTTCTTTTCCTAAGAAACAAGGAATGCTTGAACATTGTTCATGCAGCAGGAGTAACATGAACTTGACTTAAAGGATGCTTTTCTATCTAATTCCTCTCACTCCCACTTGGGCCCAGCATTTCCCAAGAGGAAGGGCTGGCAGAAAATTCTGGCTGCTTCCTTGAGTTTGATTTAATTTCAAAAGTCCAGATAGCAAAAGCCTGAATTGACCATAGTTCTAGTATCCTCACCTTTCCTGTTTCCTAACAGAATAACCCATGTGCTGGGCACCCTTGCAATCCAGCGTGCAAAAGGTCAGGCAGTGCTGGAGGGCAAAAGCAAAGTGGAAAATAATATTTCCTGAACTGAGCATACTTCTCTGTTATGTAGCAAGCATACACCCTTCTAGATGGAGTTATTTTATCTTCAGCTGCTAAACCCACAGTTAGACCAGAAGGATGTAACCCGTATGTGCAATGAGCCAAGGACATCTGGGACTTAGCTGCAGGATGCAATGCCAACTTCATTCCCCCACTTTTGTCTTGGCTTGTTCACACAAAGGTCAAGCACAGAATTTGGCTCTTACATATAATATCTAGTTACCACCTTTTCATCATCATACAATGGGAAAATTCTTCCCACTCCTGCCTCTTTGTCTTCTTCCTGCAGCCTCTGCTCTCTGCCTTGCTCCTATTTCTTCCCTGTACCTGTACATTCTTTCTGCTTCTCCCTATTTTTCCTTCCCTGAAGCATTCCCAATAGCTAAGCTTCCCATTTTCACCTTCTTCTTTGTTCTGTCCTTCTAAAGGATAGAAGAGTTGACGCCGGTATTTTCTCTGTGTGTGTGTGTCACCACTAGTGTTCAGAGTGAACGTTTGCTACGGAATGGTGGGATGAGGCCAGTTTCTGTATTATTAGTTCAGGCTGCCTGCAGATTCAGAATTTTGGCACTGCACAGGGTCACACACGTAAGGCTTTCTTTACCACTGTGAGGAATTGAAATTTACTTTAAAAACAGATAAAATATAGCTTCTGCAGAACCTTAGTATATGATCTGTGCTACCACAATACTGGGCCAAGAATTTGATCACACTACTGCAAACTATTAGCCACCTTCCGACCATCTGAAAATGCTGCTGCTAATGGCTAAGTTAAAAGTAGCTCTCGACTTTGTTCTGGGACCCTCTGAAGTCAGAGGATTCTAAAGCATGTCTGAAGGCTTTGAAAACGAGGTATCTTCTAGCACATGTCCCTATTCTGGGAGATTCTGGAACAGGAGAAAAACTGGAAGATCTGTTGATGATGCAGTTTTTGATGGAGAAGTGGGCAAATGGCTCTTTGGGCGGGAGGAGGGCAGAAGCTGCTCAACTGGGGAATGCACTGGGAGCACTGGAGTGGGAATGAGAGAGGGAGGAGCAGGGTGGGTGCGGGGAGTTACTGCTCTGTCTGAATGGAGCTCGTTTCTTGCTGTAATCAGAGGGATGGCTTCCCTCAGCCTCCTGGTACTGAGAGGCACTTTGCCTTCCTGTCCCTGCTGAAGCAAGGTGCTCAACAGTAGAAACTACTTACCTGATAACTGCTGCACTGAAGGCTGGTCATGTGTGCTTAACAACTGTGCCTGAATGGTTTCTACTACCCTCTTAAAACGACGGCTTGGACCTGTGAGGAGAGAAGAGGCACAAAGGGTTGTGAGAGGAGCAGGAGCCGAATCCTCATACCACCCAGGCTGGAGGGAAAGGAGCACAAGCACCTTCCCTTCAGGCTTGTCCCCCAGAGTGCACCGACAGCGTGTCTGTCCTTCAGCTGAAGGCACTGCTTTGAGGAACTACTCTGCAGTCCCCACGTTAATAGGGATGGTGGTGTGCTGGGCTTAACAGAAGGACGGATGGCTTCTGGGCTCCTTTTGTAAACACAGAAAAGGTGGGAGGGTTGATTTGTCTGTTTTAACCCCTGTGGGGGGCATGGGGCCACCCAGAAGAAAAGGGTGATTGCATGTTTCTGTCAGAAGGAAGAAACCAGTGGCCTCACAGTGCCCAGTCGAGACACTGAAACCTCTGAGTGGAGCAAGGAGACAGCACAGGGAGATCTGTCAAATCTGATGCACAGAGCAGCCATTTTAGCCCTAATCATGGTGGTGGCAACTTCACCTCTTTGCGAATCTCCTTCCCTCCCTGCACTTCCATCACCACCGACATTTTTGTTCCTGATGCCCTCCTTGCCCCTCTCTGAATTTTCCCCTGAAGTCAAGACAGTTATATTCTTTCCCCTGGCAGAGCTCTCTTTGCAGGCCCCTATATCGGCAAGGACTTGCACCCATTTTACAGCTTTGCCATGGTTACCTGATAAAAGTGTGAAAGTGACAGAATAGATCCCGTTCTCCTTCTGTGCCTCTCCCCCTTCTGTGTATGTTATGTCCACCTGGAACTTCACTGGCTTCTGGAAGACAGCAGGACCTCCTGTGGACTTATACTCTGCACGGAAACTTGTCTGTGAGATGACACTGTGACTGAGGCTTGGAATCTGAAACAGGATGGCAGAAGGAGATAGTAGAAACAGAGCCCAAACGGAACAAAATTGCAAAATTCTATTTAGAACAATACACGTTTCCAGAGTGGGTAAGATTTGCTGGATTTGCGTCTGGACTTGACTTTGTAATGTACAGAGTGTTCTTGTGAAATCAGTAAGAGTGCAGGTTGCTTGGCAGAAGAATGCACCACTCCTTACAGGACTGACCTAAATTTAAAGGTTGAATATTGGTGGGATACCAAACATGCTTATAAATTTACACATGCTGCACACTTCATACACCCAGTCTTTCTTTTCCTACTCATCCACCAGTTTTGAGAAATGCCTTTTGCTGAGTGAAAACTGATATTAAGGGAGGGCGTGTAAAAGTCAGTGGGATATAAGGCTGGATATAAAAAGCCACCTGAGTAGCCTGGCCTGATCTCACAGCTGGTCCTGTTGTGAGGAGGAGACCTCCTGAAGTCCTTTCTAACCTCAATTGTTTGGTGATTCTATGGTATCAAATAGACAAGAAGACATGGACTGAGACAAGTGACTGGGATATCCACAGGGAAAGTATGCCTGCAAATAACTTATGCAAACCACAGCTCCTATCAATATGTAAAAGAACTCTGAGAAGCTTTCTGGTATCATCCCATGTCTGTATCTTCAGACCTGTGGTAGAATTTCTTAACTGCCTGACTTTCAAGCAGTTACCATTCACAGTTCTTGCCAAAATCTGACATACTCACATTCTATTTATTGCTTCATAAAGGACCAGACTGAGAAAAAGAAAATGACCCAAATTACTTGGAAATCTGGCCTCTCATTTAGGAGGAAAAATGAAGATGAGTTCTTTGAGAAGATGACCTTAAGGACTGACTTAGCAGGCTGCGACAATGCCTTTAAGTTTGAAGTTGTCTACAAGAGATGATTCATAGGATCTCCACACAAATCACTACCTCACACCTCAACCCACCCATGTGGGGTATGCAGAGGATCACCAGTGTAGACAATAGTGCACACTACGGCACAATACAAACCCAGAAGCACAGCTAAATGCATGAAATGGATATGGTAACATGGCTGCTTCAAACCAATCTGAGATGGATACCAGTGTCTGATGCATGCTGCTATACTGTTTTTTTTGGGGAGAAACTCATTGCAGCACCATGGGAACTAAAAACAAGTGGAAAACAGTATCAATTCAACAAACTATGTAAGAAATTAAGTCTCCTTCTCACAATTCTATTGAAAAGAAGTCTAATTATGTTGTCAACTATCTTGAACTGAAAAATCCCTCAAATTAACTTTACTGTACTTTTTCTCCATTGGTACTTCCAGATAGTGAGAACAAGGACTTTGTATAGGAAAAAATGACAATTTCCTTCTCCTTTCCTAGATTGTAAATAAACCACATCTATAACAACTGATAGTCTGGTCACCAGAGGAAATTATCCTTCTTTCTGCCATGCAGCATCAAAGAGGAGATATAAAGTAACAAATGGAGATGTGAGACAGGATTTTTGTCTGACTGAGTGGTGGAGGGCATATCCAGCAGAGGGAGAGCCAATCTGATGCCCAGACGGCGACTGTAAGGTTAGTTTGACAAAGCAGCAAATCACTGTCTTGACACCACCCCAGCAGTGTGCTCTAACTGCAGTTATATTCCAAGCACTGGCAACCTGGAGACCCTGCCAAGAAGGCTGAAATCTTTTCTCACCTTAGAGAGTATTATCTACAGTTAGAAATTCAGACAGTGTCCAGTGGAGGCTGGAATCAACCAGGCACGTAAAATAAATCCGCAGAGGATCCATTTGAAGGAGCAGAGACCCTGCTCAGTAACATATGGCACAAGGAGTCCTGGAACTGAGCAGTGAGCTGGGGTGACTTACCGAGAGGAAAGCGTGGACAATATCAGCCTTAATGGAGCTTAGTGGTTTGTCCTTAATGACCACAAAAATCTGTTCTTCTTTCTCCAAGTTGATGAAGTTACCGAACCAGGATTTTTTGGCAAGCCTGATGTGATGAAAAGAAAGAGATGGTTTAGAATATTGAGCACTATTTCTTACATACCCTCAACTAGAAAAAATATTAAAAAACACACAAGGAAGTTTTGGTAACACTCCAGATGTGATGCTATTACTAATAGTAAGTGGAAAACAGTGGCAGAGAACGTCCAGAAAAATATTTCACTTGCTAAAAACTGTTAAAATGACAGACCACACAGTGTTAGTCTGGCAGCATGTGTCACCAACAATGAAAAATCAGGAGCCATGGTAACTCTTTTGACTGAGCCAATATACCAATTAATACTGCATATATAAAGTGCATATAAGCCAGGGAACACATTTCTGGTTTGTGCCCGGGGATCTCGCCATTTCTTGTGACAATACGTGATTGCTGGTAACACAGGGATTTAAGTCCCTTTCCACCCAATTTCAACCCCTTTGGAGTTCCAGGACTTGGAAAGTTCCTTTTCTGAAGGTGTCCTGCTGGGCTGACAGTACGATCACAGGATCTTGCTTTTCAAAGCAAGCTGTGATCCTCCAATCTGTCAGTGAGTGAAAGCCACTCCTACACAGAGGGCCAGGACAAAGACGGTCCCGTTCATTAGCCCCATTCAGGTGTCTATATAACGAGTGAACTCTGGCTATCCTACAAAGGAATGAATTTTCAGTACTAGAAGAGAAGATATCAACACCATGCAAAACACAGTTCAGGCTTTCCACTGACAGCAGTCCAACTTCACAGTTCCTTTCAGCATCAGATGGTGGTTTCATCATAAAATTAAATTGTTCTGCTTTTTCACACTGATCGTATCTGCAAATGCTTGATTTTGCTTATTGTTTCACTATCTCAGTGCATTTTGCTGACACTCCCTTTTAAGTTAAACAGGCTAAAGGAAAAATGCAGAGACATGATTCTTATTGGGGGACGCTACCCAGAACTTGAAGGTAGCACCTCTGACAGGTGTGGTTTTGCGGAGGAGAGAAAATGATGTCAGCCATGAGATACAGCCAGAGAATTGCTGAACCAATCTAAACCCAGGGAAAATTCCACTGAAATCAGCCATATTCCAGTAGGGAAGAATTTAGCATGAAAATGTCAGAAATGAGAAGACCTGCCACCAAGAGACTGCCATTATTTTCCTCCACAGGATACTTTATAATGCCATGACAAGTCCACTTTGCAGTACGGCAAGCAATAGGCTTCCACTTGTTTTGGCGGGCATTCACCACTCCGTGGAAGAAGACAACCTCTCCAGACAAGGAGAGCCATCTGCAAAAAGGATTACTATACATCAGCTTTCCAGCAAAACAATAAACAGCTGGAGAGGGTTCTTGGTAGGTTCACTTTCCATGGCAAAAACTCAGACTGAGGCAGAATGAGGGCGGGCAGAGACTAGGAGAGAGAGGAGCAAGCTAGGAAACTAATCTGAAGTCTAGGCCGCCGGGATAGAGAACAGAGCTTGACCTCAGCAGCATCCACCAATTTGCACTCATTCCCCATTCCAGAGTGCTCCGTGAGTCACACAACTGCCATCTCACTGGCCATTTAATGCACACCGTAGCAAAGACCACAACTGGAAGACTGCTCGGTTGTGCAAATAATCATTTGCTTCTACCTACTGCAGGCAACCAAAAAGAAGAGTACAGAAAGATTCACTTGCAGTTTGGTAAACCAGTGCCCCCGACTCAATTAAAGTGGGCTGGAAAACTGTCACTCCCTAAAATATTCATAGGCAGCTGTAACTAAGCCAGTGAGCCAGAGATTAGCATAGGGAGCAGTGAAGAAAGGGCCTCTCATTTAAATGGGTCGTTAAGGAGCCAGGGTTAGAGTGTGAAAGGAAATTACATACTAATTAGCTCATGTGTCTCACACACACCATAACAACTCCGCAAGCCCCTGGAGAGCTGGGGCAATAGCTCCCTGCATGTAAAGGGTCTATGCTCATTAGTAAATTAGCACCTGGTTATCCATCTAAAACGGCTGGTTGTCTTAGGCTCCTATCATAATGCGAACCAGGGTTGGCTGTATGGACTCCAGGGGCCCAGCGTAAGTCACAGATGGAAGGTGGGCCTGGAAAAAGTGTGCATATTTAATTGCAGGTCTGCCATGTTAAAATATGGCTTTTCATTTTTGTATTTCCATTAATGGTTTTGTTGGCCCTTCATTTATAGGTCTCTTAACAAGCACAGGTTAAAGGGGCCCCAGCACACAGGGAGGTTTTCTCCTGTTCAGCTTGGAAACCTGGTCTTGAGTCTCCAGAGTCCAGCTGGGCTCTTTTCTTCGGCAAGGTTATCACCAGTAATACTGACTCTGAAAGATTCACTGATAGCCAGGGCTATGCTCCAGCTTGTAAATCACTGGAATTCACTCAATAATTTTGCTGCTGTCGCATAAGATGGAATAAATGCCAGTGGCCTCTCCTGTTTCTGCAAAGAACAGAATGAAGACATAGCACACATGCACTGGCTTTTCTCCCCGAAACTGGCAGGACTAACTGTGCTCATACACCCGGGCAATAGGCCCATCGAAGAAGAGGGGGCAGCTTTGGAGTCAAATGGCGCTCTCAGAGGGTATTACAGGCTACTAACTTGGGTTAAAATAGGTATGAATCAAGGACCCTCAGCACCCTGACTGAGGTGCCCTAGCATCTCACAAGATCAGGCTGTAAGCAGTAAAAAATGGACTTAAAATTCAGAGTCTTCTCTTGTTACGGCAAACCACCTAAGGGGGAGGGAGATAGGAGATATGTGTGGGAGGCTGGGTATGTAGATTACTCTAGGGAATCTAATCAGGTGTCCAGTTGATGAAAAAGCAAATAGATTAGCATAAAAATGGAGGCTGGTGCTTTATTACTTCACACTGAATTTCTCACTGCTATAATGTTCCTCTTCCTACTTTTGGAGTGTCTGACTACATCGCTTTCTGGAGACCCTCACTGTCTTCCCTACCTGTCCTGAGCACATGGAACTGTAACCTCCAGAGGTTTACCTGCTGGGCATAACTAACAGCATTTCTACGCAAGCAAATGGAGCTTTGCAGGTTTAAAGCAGCTGGAGCTATGTCTCTTTAAATGTCATCCCTAACACATTTTCTAGGACTTTTTCATATGAGAAAGAATAGCATTACCCAGACACGTCAGAATGTATTACCTAATCATCAGGTTTGCTAAATGAATGGCAGTCACTGCTGTACCAGAGCAAGGACATGTATTTATTGCTCAACCCATGAGGTCAATACAGCTCTTAATAAGGATATCCTATTTCTTACAGAAAGGAAGAAAATACGAGAAAAAATAAGATGTGGAAGTGGGCACTGAGCAACAAGACATCTATCGTTAAAATATAATCCAGTTCATTATTTTTTATGACTTTTATTATGTTTACTGCAGGGTGCAGTCCAATTGAACTCATTAATTTGGCAATTATACAGAAAAAGAAAAAAGGGCCTTAGGCTTTGACTTGCATCCAAACTGCCTCAAATGACAGGCACCACTTCTCTACACCAGCTTTTAAAGAGTGAGTGGGAAGCAGGGAAGGCAATAAATTAACAGAAAAACTTCCACCGACATACATGCATGAAGAGAAGAGGAGAAATTTAATTCTGAAGGTTTTCTGCTTTAATGGCCTTAAAAACATTTGAGATGAGAGTATCATACATTTCTTTGATTAGGATGCATTCACTTTATGAAAGTCTCTCATGCCTCTCTATGAGGAAATGGTCTAAGGTGTTGAAAACACAATTTATTCTATTTTTTCTTCCCGGATTTCTTTTACTAATCTTTACCATTCCCTACTTTTCCCTCTCCTGAAGTCTTTGTTCCTCTCCATTCTGCAGCATTAGACATAGAGTGCTCATCTTATACTAGATAAATGCCAGGTCTGGGAAAAGTTGTTAAGGCAATACCATTGTCATCAATTACAAAACTTTGGGCCCAAAATCTCCATCTACGACTCATGAATATTTCACACAAGTATCTTGACAAAAGGCCAAATTGCCTTGGTTGGCAGGGTAAGTCTATGGGCATTGGGTGCACAAACACAAGCTGTGAAAATAAAAAGCAATAATTTGGCATCTGTTGCATATATCAGGAAGTGTTTGGAGCAGCACTCTCTGGCAGGGACTTCCAAACCTGCCATGCAATGACGCACATTTGTGCAGTGAAATGGTTGAAATGTACACTGACTTTTAGGAACGAGTCTGGTGAATATGAAACAGCTTCTGCATGTCCCAGTGCTGCTGCCTTGAATTAACACTGCGTTTACTATCGCAGCCAAAGACTCCTCTGAATTATCTTAGCAAAAGCTTCTGCATGTTATCCTGAGGATGCAAACTCTCCTGTACTAAGAGGAAGACTTTTTAGTGCACAGTTAGTGCCAGTATAAGCCACTGATTAACCTCTCCGCTCCCCAAGAGTGATCTGCTTGACAACCAAATGAAAGAAGAGAGAAGGACCATGTTATAAACTTAGTAAATTCAGCAAGCCAGGAGAAAATTAGGTGGTTACTGGGAGACTGTTTCATCACCTGTTGACCCCACTGCTATTACTAGACTTTATCCAGGGTCTTCAGCAGAAGAACCATTTCACATCTCTATCCCACTCACAGGATAACAGGTTACAGTCAGATACTGATCCAGAACAGGAATATGTCAGCCTATGACATGCAGGCAAGAAAATGACATCGGTATGTGGTGGAAAAAAAGTAGTGTACAGGCAAATTACTCACTCTGGGGATGATTCCGGGGTTAAATTAGACATCTCCTCTGGTGTAGGTACTGCCCGTGCGCACACAGCCGAAGAGAGGGAGGGAGAAAAGAAATTGATGATTCAGTACACCTTCTATTTTCTGCTTCTATACCAATGAAACAGTTCGGGCATTACACCCCCTTGCATTTGCCCACTGCCTCTGCAGACTAGTTCTGACATTTGAACATTGGTCATGTGTCTCTAGGTCACTGTATCTAATCAAGTGCTGCATTTCAAGGCTCACCCTACCCTTCTGTAAATCATTATGTAACCTTGCAGTGGCTTCAACAGTTTCTGGTTCACACCCAAACACTGTGCCAATTTGATTGCTTTACAATTAATTGCTTCGAAGCCCAGCTGGATTCAGCTCAGTCACTGCTGCAGTTCTCTGCAGCTCTCTGACCATCTCAGAGACAATGTCCTTGACCATGAGAGTTCAAAATCTAACTCCTCCATGGATGTAATTCCCCTTTCCCGTGGGATCACATCCCAGTACCCTGTAAAACCACTGGGTGTTGGGATGGCTGCTGGTGACATCTGAGGATAATGCACGTGACTCTGGGTGCCATGTGCCTGAATGCAAAAAAGCCACCCCGAACTTAATGAAGAAAATTTTTCATGTCTCAACACTCTAGAGGCGCTGAAAACTGTAACAGACCAGCAGATATGAAACCACTGATTGCATTAAGGAGATTTTTACACCAATTAGCAAAGGTGGTAAAACAAGCATTAACCAAGTTCAAACAAGCTGTGCTTCAGAAGGACAATTTCAGCCTATTGCCACTGGCTATCCTTTTTTGGCAGAAGGCTCAGCCTGTGACTGTGGAGAGGCAGCCGAGTACAGCCATAGGGGAAATGGCAGAGTTCTAGATTTGCCAACAAAACGAGTAGAGAAGCTGAAGATAAAATCTTGTGTTCTAAGAGCCACAACAGGGAGAGTAAGAGCTGTGTGGCTAGAGTGTGAAGAGGGCTCAGGAGCTGTTGTTGGAGCAGGGGCAGAGGCATGACAGAACCTGCTCACACGTGCCTTGGGTTAGGGCTGGCTGATGACATCGTGCTCATTCTCAATACCAATATTCAGTCCTCAGTACGTGAAACTTCCAGAGCCACGGAGAGATATCAACCAGCTGCTGAATGTCTGCCCCAACCAGAACCATCCTGTACGTTTGGGCGAGCACTCACCTTGCAATTTCCGGCGATGGAAGCGAGGAGACCCCAGGAAACTATTCTTGATTGAGTTGAGCCGTGTCCTCCATGGCATTCCTCCAATGCTGGGGCTGGATGGTGGTGTTGGGTTGGGTGTGCCTGCTGGGCTCTCCTTTGGCGTATGGACAGGTGTCCCCTTGGGGGTAGGGAGGGGACTTCCCCTTGGAGAGGGGTGAGGGGTGACCTGTATGATGGGGATAGATTTGGTGCTTGGGTCAGTACTAGAAGGGAGCAATCTAACAGGAGACATAGGGTTGGTCTGCACTTTAGGAACGGCCAGCTGTGGGTTAAAGCCGGCAGCGGGCGAGCGGCCCTGAGCATTCTGCACAGGGTTGTTCTGGGAAGAGGGGGCGCTGGTATTGCTGGTGGGGAGTGGGTTGGATTTAGTAGACTGGAGTGGTTTTTCGGCCAATTTGCTCTTGGATGGCAAAGTCTGCGTCTTTGGGTTGGGCTGAAGTGCTGGCTTTGGTTGGAGTACATGTCCAGGCCTGGAGGCGTTCCTACAAGCATCAGGGTCCAAGGAGACTTGGGGTCGGGGAGAGAAAGGGAGGTCGGAGGTCTGAGGGGGGATGAAGAACTTTCTGATAGGCTACGAGACAGACGCAGAGTGTCCATGCACATCAAAAACAGTGAAATACGCATAGAGCGGGCGAGCAGGGAAAGGAAAGTCAGAATAAAATCCATCCGAGTCACAAAGATGCACCATGTCACAAGGAGACACAAGAGATGGAGGTGAAGGGGTAGTGGGGGGGGAGGGATATTGCAAAGAAACGAAAACGAACAAACAAACAAAAAACAAAAAAAAAGACATGCAGTTAGCTGGGAACACAGCATAATCAACAACAGCAGCAGCGGCAGCAGCAAGAACAACAGTGTCATAACAGGCTTCATCATATTAACCAACCACGTGTCAGCAAAGGAAAACAACAGAAAGAAAATTAAAACAAAGGAAAAGTAAAACAAAACAAAACCAAAAAAAAAAAAAAAAAAGAAAGTAACCAAGAAAAAAGAAGAGAGAAATGCCATCTCTCTGGGATTGTTCTGATTGCCCTGCAGTGAGAGAAGCACGATGCTGTAGGGAGGTGAGGAAGGGGAAGAAGAACCACTCAAGCCACAGACAAATTGAGATGTGCCAAGAATGGGACCACCTCTTTCAGCTCCAAGTGCCCATATGCAAACCCAGCAGAGAGATGAAACTCAAAACAGGTGTGTGATACACACAGAGTGGTAGGCGATACACACAGGTTACTGCACACACCAGTCAGAACCTCTTTCCTTCCTCTTTACCCCTGACTCTGGCTAACGCACACCCCGGTTGCAGCCACTCGTTGCAGAAAAAGGGGGAGAGGGAGGGTGATGCCACGTGAGCATCCCCTCCCCTCCCCTGGCCCGGAAGGTTAAACCACTCAGCATTCACTCGGAGGCTCCAGAGCACACACCACCATGAGAAAAACAGGAACTCAGGTTGGTGTTTGGTTTGTCAACAGCTACGGCAAAAGCTTCAGAGAGGCCTGGCAAATCTGTTTATCCGGGAAGAGATGATACTTCCCATCAGACTTGATGCTTCTCCTGCAACATCCCTCATCGCATCGAAGGTCAGCTTGAGAATGGGAATTTCTGTCATAACGTCACAGCAGTATTTGCCATTAAGTCCCAATTCTATGGAGGGGGTGGGGTGAGCCATTGTTTTGTAAGACACAGTTTAAAAAGAAAAAGGCAACCAAAGTTCATAATCCGTCACTGAGTTATCAAAATGGGATTATGATTTTTTTTTTTTTCCCCCAAACAAGAACATTTACACATGTTAAAGGCATTTTAGGAAACAATTCATATGTCAACAACAAACAGCAATACACAGACTTAGGAGGATAGAAGCCTTTTAAAGGGATATTAGCAAGCTAAAAATCACATTTAAAACAAAACAAATGTCCTTACAAAACATTGCTGTTAATACTTTAGATTTCAAATATTGGCAGAATTGTAAAAATAGAAATCACTACTCAAGAACTTTAGCTTTGGTCTGCACTCTGATTTTGATGTCTATAAATTAGTACCTATTATGAATTACTGATCACCATATTATCATCATCATCATCATCATCACCATCATCATCCATTCTTAACACCCAAAAGCTCTAATCAAGCACTGTCCAGATATATCTCATACACGTAACCATGCCTCAAATCTCAGTCCCAGGTAAGCACACTCACTGGTGAGTTTACTTTCTGGGTTCGATGGATTTGCACGGTGTTGCCATATTTAAAAAACGCAGACATGTATTTAAGACTTAATTCCTAAAATTGTTTGCATGAAAGTTTTGTAATTACTTTAAAGAAATTAGGGTTAGGCCACCAAAATGAAAAGAAAATCACTACATCAAGACATCTGTATTAAGTTAAAACTGAAGTCTGCCATGTTGGTAAATTCTAATCCCCAGTGAGAAAGGAAGGGGAAAAGATGAGGAAAGTGGCTCATTTATGGAAGTCACTATTGGCATCTGAGTATTAACCATTTGCAAATTACACCAATGGATAGAAGCCAAAGACAGTTGTTTCCAAATGTTTCCTTGCAATTTTTGTATCTTCCGTGTTTGAGAAAAAAAATTGAAAGCAATAAAGTCAAATTCAGCTGCCACTTAAGGCATTAAGAATCTGAAGGTGCACCCTTAATTACCACATTTTTAATAATTTAATCAAGATTAGGTCTATAGTTCAGCTGGTGCAACGGGGAACACCACTAGCAAGTTCTTGTGAGATTTAAGAACACTCAGTAGCTGCTGAATTCAGTTCTTCATAGAACTGAACCTAAGAAGCGCGTATAGTGAAATCTGTATTTGCTTTTTAAAGTATGTTCCCTTTCAATAATCTAAGGTGCTATTAGAAGCATAAGTAAAGACATTTTAAAAATATTATTTTTATTCCAACATTTCCTTTTAAGCCTCAAATTTGACCTGCCTTAATATCGTTACGATCTGCTGAAAATGCCATCTGGTTGATAAATTCCTCTGAAGACTATTTAATCAACTGCCTATTAAGTAATAATGGTAAGATACAGCAACTACGGAACAGATCTTGTCATCCTTATTCTTTGATGTAGCCCTACTGAGATGTCAGAAATTGATCCCGAGAGATCAATTAATGAGATCAGGATTTAGGTTTGCTGCACTGGATGCTTATTTTATGCACAAAACTGTTTCCATGTTCTTTTTTCGGTACATTTTGCAGTGGCATAGGAGTTCTCAGACCTCTGCTTCATTCCCTGACACCCCGGAGTCCCAGTGCAGAAACAAGGCAATGGATCATTACTGGTTCCTGGCACATTAAAGATGAAGAGGAGACCACAAACATGTTTATGCTAGTTGCAAAACGCAAGGATAAGAATAGGATAAGAATTCTGGATAGGAACCCAGAATATGATTCAGAAAATAGTTCAAGCAAGCAAGGAGTTGGAAGCTTTACTAGCCTGTAAACTTACACCCGACAGTCTTTATGGATAAGAATTACATAAAGTGATACTGGGCAATTAGAATTTTAAATACTTGGAATACTGATGTTATCTTCATAAACCTAAGAGTAGATCCATAGGGGTATCCATACCCTAAGACATAGAACATATCCATTTCCCATGGGGGATGGCACCTTCTCATGAAGTCATGAAACATATGTAGAAATCCTCCAAAGGCACTGGGCCAGCCAATTAGGCAACATGGATTGTCACAGCCCTATAGACTTCTCAATGAGGTCTGGGCTTTTGTAAGGACTGCAGTTTTAAAGTGACTAAGCTGACCTTGTCAGCACTAGGAATACTCACTCTTATCCCTAAAGAAGCTACCAGGGAGTGGGAGGCCTCTGTCATTGCACTTAGAAATTGTCATAACTTTGCAACAGACGTATTATCAAGCGTGTTTTGTACTAGTTCAGTATCAGTTGAGTATTACTATTTAGTTGACTCTATACTGAATAAGGATATATGAATGTACCTTAATTATAGTGGCTTGAGTGTTCTTTTCTCAGCTTAGTCAACTTACTTTCCTTTTGAATTTGCTAGCCCTCAAATTTGTATAATCTGTTTTCTCTGACTTTCTAATACAAGCTATTCTGAGGTAAACAGAATCAAGTCAGTTGTAACCGGCATGGTTTGGTGTTCTGCTGTGACCTGACTGAAAGTAGCTGTGAAATGGTTCCCGACGTGTGGTCTGAAACCACGCTGCATACAGGCCTGCTGGATATGGCAGTGTTTAGTCTTTGCAACGTTATTCTCTGTGCTTACGGGACTGAAAAAGGGCAGGGGCACCGTGAGATCCCTGCTAACAGTGCAAGGGAACATGTATGCGAAATTCTCTGCTTGCATTTGTAAATAATGTTTCCCTCACCACCCATGAAAATTTACAAGCTGCCAAAGGAAAAACAAAACATCCCAGCGAAGAGCCACAGCTCTGCAGCAACAGATGTCGAAAAGCATCAAGCATGTGTGAGTGAATTGGATCAACAGATCCTGAAGCAGCACCACTTACCCTTGGACTGCTGAGAGGACTGGTGGAGAGCCCAGATGATGCTCCGCTGATTGACCGAGACCTGAATGGACACAATAAGGAAAACAGCTCTCAGAAAACTTGGACAAGTGATAACCCTGAACACCAGCCACCACAGGCACAGGCATGAAGTGAGGAGGAGGAGGAGGGAGGTTGTCACTGGAAAAGCATATGACTCTTTCCTTTCACTACTGTCACATTTTTTCAGTTGTCCCACCCTCAAAACAGAGAAATGCTGTTGCTCAGGGAGGAGACTATCGTCTCTTTTCATTAAGGGAGTTGCTACCTTCTTTTTGGCCATCAAGCACACGAAAGCTACGTCTGACCTGTGCAAGCTGAACTGCTGAATTCAAAAAGGACTGTCAAGACCTTCATGTTGGTGCTGAGAATTCTCTTCTGCGCAGTGCTGGTGGACACAGAATGAGACGTTCTCTGTCACAAGCAACATGGAAAAGCACCGTGTGTACAAGGCACAAAGGTAGGGGATACTTCCAGGGATTAAGAAAAAAGCCAAGGCTCCGTGACCCAGGCACACCATCATTTCCCATGTGATGACTTCTCAATGAAATCAAAGCTCACATTGGCTTAACCCCCTTCCAGCTTCTCACTGATGGATTTCACATCTCTGCTCTCCAGTAAGATTTCCTGCTGCTGCATTAAACAAGCCAGGCCTTCCCTATGGATAACGAGTTCTGTTGCTGATGACTCTACTAATAGCAAGATAAGAGCGCAGATGTCCTCAAAAAGTGGCCAGTCAAGGGAGAATAAACTGTCCTTCTATTTGCTGACAAGGCCACCTATACAGTAATGCTCCTGTGCTCTCCAGCAAAGGCCACCTATGGAAAAGTGTCAGCTGTAGACAATAAAACATACAAATGTGCTATGCTAAATGAGCTGAAAGGGCAAAGAGGCCAAATGCACAAACACTCCAGCAGCAGAAGTTTCCGGGAGGAGCGCTGCCCAGCAGGAAAAAGAACCCTCTCTATGACTGTAAATGAGTAAGCCCCAGAGGCAGCTGCTTTCTATCCTTTTTAAATAGAAAGAAAGTTGTCCTGAAGACGGAAACATCATATAGGAGAGGACTTGGCTAAGACCCTACTTGTTCAACAACCACCATGCAACATGTCAATACAGCAAACCTACCGATGTTTCACCTACAGGAAGAACCATGAAAGCAATTACGTGCCTTCAGGTGACAAACATGAAAAGGTGAAATCCTGTAGATGCTCAGCAAACAGAGTGCACGTGTGTATGTGTCTACATACGTGTCTACGTGTGTATGTACACATATATATATTTCAAATTGATATAGGTCAGATAGTTAATGTCATCTTATACCTCAGAGAATATAAAGCAAATTTAGACCATAAACTGTCTCAGTTTACTCTCTTCCACTGTTAGACTAAATCAAAAAAATCAGTTTCTAAAATGGTCTCCCAGACATATATTACTAAATAAAATTGAGTAGTAGAATTATTAAAAAACATGTGAACTGCCAAAGAGGAAATATTTCCAAGGAAAGAGTAAGCTACAGCTGAACACAGTGGCAGGTCCTGTTCTCTCTGTATCCTCTGCAGAAACTACTCACTGATGTTTTTTTTTGTATCTCATTGCAGTTTGTCCATCACAGTAAGTAGGTGAAACCCTGAAGCCCAGTCTTGGCATGCTTTCTTGCCAGATTAAATCTAAATTTGCACCATGGAAATCTGGGGCACTCATTCAATGCAGAAACTCCCCACTTGCATTTTTCCTTGTACCCTGCTGCAGTCCGCTCACCATAGTGCAGCAGTCAAAAACTAGAAGTTCAGGCTTGGTATTCTTTTGCACTCGATTAAGTCTAAATTTGTACCATCAAGATCTGGGGCACTCATAAAGGTTTATGCGAAGTAATTTTAAGGGGAGAACCGTCTGCTCCACTTTTGAAAAGCTATTTTATGTGCCTCTCCTATAACTGAAGTAGCTGAGTGCAACACAGATGTGTCGTGCATATGGGAAGTCCATTTAGTTAAAATCTTCCTTGTATGAGTCATCAGGAAAAGCTTCTTCCAAACTATAAATTACAAGAGGAGCCTACAGATTATCTTGGACAAATACGGAAGGTGTTTAGGTGCCCAGAGATGCAGTTAAACACCTACTTTGGAGTACAGCTCCCACTAGGAGATGCTCCCACCAGCTCTTAACTGGGCTGGGAAAGTCCTCTCTGACACTCACCTGAATTCCAGGATACTTGTTTAAAAGTTCCAATCTGCTATTTCCTTTTTGCAATCAGGTGTTTCCAACAGTCCTGAATTCTCCCCTCCCAACCCCACTGCCTCCTATTTTTTTACAAAAACAATCACACACAGGGAGGGCAAAACATGGCAGGCCCCACCTCCCAACTCCCAGTTCCTTATTGGAAGCAATATTTGAAAAAGAGTTGTTGTGTACTGTGTTTTCATCCAGCCTAGGAGCCTGAGGTAGGGGACAGAAGAGAGAGTTAGTGTGAAATCCTCCTGGAAATGCATTCAGTATCCACATGATTGCTATCGAACAAGCTTTATTTCTGCTGCTGATTTACATGCAAAATAAGTAAGAAGTAAAGTATGCCCTATAGCAAGTTTTAGTTTGTCCACGCTGGAAATTGTATATAGGAGCAGTGGAAAGAATTTAAAGAATCCTGGGTTAAATTTAAGCGTTGGGGTGAAAAGAGAGTTGTACATTTTCAAAAATTCTCCCCCTTTACCAGAGAGTGCTGGTATGGGATATAACACCCAGACTTAGGAGATCTTCTTCAATTTAATATATCTCCCGTAATTTACCTTTACAAATGGAACATAGTTCCCAGGCCAGCTATAAAAACCCAGTACAGTGGCAGGTATCATACTCCAGTACAAAAAATGCTAACAAGCAAAAATGACAGATTTGTCCCTCCCATCAAGATCATCTTAACTGAGAAATACTAGATTTCAGTTTTAAAAAAAAATCCTCACATGCACTGCTCCTGTATCTCAGTCAGGTGGACAGAACTGGGACAGGGCCAAAAGAAAGTAATGAAAACGTTCCATTACGCTGAAATGCTGTAATGAAAGAAGAGAGAGAATTTAAATTTTTATCCCTCTCACCAGAAAATGAAAGCATGAGGCCCTACAGGCAGCACATTAGTATGGCAGACCCTGGATGATCTTATATGTGGAAAGAGGAGAAAAATATGACATCAACGTATCTCTACGGTTATGAACTAAGTCTATTTAGTGGAAAACATCTATTAGCGAGTAACCTCCTAAGACTCTCTACAGGCATTAAATGTCATTGGAGGTATTAAATCTATAATTATTCCAATAACTTGATACTAAATGCAACAATCTAGGAAACTATGAACATTGTGTGTGACTCATTTTGCTCTGTGTTTTGCATTCCTGTATGCTTGGGCACTAACTCAATGGAAGCCATCAAAGAGTTTTTGAAAATACAAGCGTAAAAGTTAATGCAGTTGCTCAGATAAAGAGCATCCTCTCAAACGCATTTGCCAGATTTAGAGACCCAAGAGGAGACTCCTTTAGTCCCTTCCAAAGTGACATAGCTGCTTTGCCAAGCCTGGAGGGGGGAATTAATAAAAAACAAATGTAAGGGAGCTAGACTCAGGGTTTAGGAGGGGGGAAGATGTAGAGGGCACTCTAAACAGAAGGTGGGCACTGAGACCATTGCAGACTATTCCTCCCATCTCACAGACTGACAATAGCCTGGAGACCTCTGAGCTATGAAAGAGAGGCCAAGGACTGAAACGAAAGGTGCATGTGTGGGCTGCAGTTTGTAGATGTGATGATTTTATACCTTATTCACTCTATTTGATACTCCAGAGTATCAAAGTTAAAAGGTTCATTGTTTTAAAGTCATCTTTTACCCATTTTAGCCAGCTGCTGTCAAAGGGGGAAGCCACGTGAGGCCCAATTCATGTTAGACCAGTGGTTTCTTACTGGTGAAATTGAGGAGCTGGAATCCAGTTTCCAGCTGGTTTCAGAGAACTGCAGAACTTCTTGAGAGCTGTAAGAGGTGAAGGGCTGAAGCCTCACACTACTGAAGTGTGGGCAGAGAGAAATACACGAAGGAAAAACACAGCTGACCTGGTAACTGTACTACAGATACAGCACATGTACAGAGCACCTCCATGCAGCCCTTCCCTCAGATTAATTTTCAAGTGCTTTAAACAGGGCATCTGCTAGTACACACCAGTAGAGTATAAAGGCTTCGCAGCCAGCGTTAAACATTTGGGTCAGATTTGGCATTTGTTTCTTCTTTGAATAACCGTCTCACAGAAATTTTTCTTACAGTCAACGGGGTGTTTGGTACCTTGTTCAGTCCCAGCAGAACTTGCTTTCATAGCACAGTTTTACCAGGATGCTGAGTACAGCCTCTTAGCTGGTCAAGCTGGAGCCATGCTTCCAGGAAGGGGAGCCTGCAGCATGCATGCAACGTGCAGTAATGCATCAGACTTGTGTCCCTGGGTGAAATGCCTTAGAAATTTTGGATTGGTTTGATTCCATATGTGGTTTTGAAAGTCATTCCCAAAATATCCAGCCAACTTCTTATTTGCTTCAAACATAAACGGGGTGGAATTTGATACTTTTCACTTGCTCACTCAAATAAAACCCCAAAAATCTAAACTGTATTTCAGGGTATGAGACCCCTGAAAATAACCTGAATTAATATGCAATAGGTGAGCAGTCAGGCACTGTGTGTTACAACAGCTCATCACTACTACTCTTGGGTGTCCAAAAGATACAAACTGTGCTTCCTTGCTCCCTGATCTAGGGAATATCAATAGAATACCTCCACTGTCTTACGGTCCCAACCATGCAAATAATAGTAACTGTAACAGCTCCTACAGGGAATACTTATGCTCAAGTCAGAACGTCTACTCATGGTAATAACTGCTTGTAAGATGAAGCCTTACAGAGAGAACAGAGAAAGGACCTCAGGTGTTGGTAACACACCTCTTCTTCCTTTCAGCGCACACAGAGGGTGATGTTGAACAGCATCACCTCCCTTAATTGGCCAGTTATACTAAAGTTCCATTTATAAATGGTTTAGAAAGAATTAATAAATAGTAAAGCAAGCTACAAAGAGGAGAAGTAAATGTTACTGGTGGTAATTAGCTTTCTCAATATGTAGCCTCTCAATAAGCTTTTGCTGTAGTCTGTAGTGATCAATTACAATGTTTTTATTAAATCATTTATTAATAAAATATTCTCCTTCTGTGAAGTATTTATAAATGGAACTTTAATTTGAAGTGTGACTGCATTCCTACTTGTACCTATATCCTCTTTATTGAAAATATATCTGTCTCTAGGGCCAGCTGTTCACCTCTTAAGAAAACATATATTAAAAAGAGAGGCAATACCCAGCATTTTTTTAATAGCACGGATGGGATTCAGTTTCATCTTTTTTTAAAAAAAAAAAAAAAAAAAAGAAAAAAGGATAAATTAGGATCAAAATTAACTGGAGGGCACCAAACAGATAGAAAAAGTGCTGAACAGTGAAGCGGGTTTCATTCTCAGAAGGTGTCCTGGTACCTGCACAGTGTCTGAGGATAGTTCTCTGTGCCCACAGACATTGAAACGCAGAGACAAACAAGAGAACAAAAAAGAACCCAAAAGTAAATTATATGGAGTGTGACTCCAACATAAAAGCACACAAACACACACAAAAGCACCAAAAATGCTTCTTCCCACATCTCTCTCTCTCTCTCCCTGCTGTAGCGCCTCATTCACTGAAGTTTATCAGCCTGTATTGTATTTGTAAAGTGCAAATTAAAAGTTTCTCTATAAGATACAACAGATCCCGCAACAGGAATAATCCAAAACTAGAGCTTACCCCAACGGATCAGCACTCGCCATCCTCGGAAAGGGAAAATGAAGAGAGAGGGAGAGAGAGAGAGAGAAAGAGAGAGGGATGTGGAGGCAGGTGGAGAGAAGAGTAGGAAAAGCAGAGTGAAATACTGTTCGGAGAACTGAACGGTCATAATTATTGCCACTGGTGCCTACGTCTTCAGAGACCAGGAACACTAGGGGGACAGTTTCAATTGCCAGAAAATAACTTCTGTCCTGCTCACAATATTGCAGACACATCCAACTTTGACACTGGGGAATATGGAGAGGGACATACTAAGGCTGGGAAAAAAAAAATTCCCGGCCAAATCCCAATTAAAGCAGTCAGCGGAGCAATGGGGTTCATACTTCATGCTGCATTTCTTTTCTGCCTCTTTCATAAGGCACAGTTACATCAGACTGTTATCAAGGAAATTGTTCTTTTTGTCCCCAGTTTGCTCAGTGTAGCGTCCCTCTGTCCCCCAGGCTGGCCTGGTAAGAAGTACTTTTTTTTTGCCACGAATGAACTGTGAAACGTATTGGTTATTAAAGCATGCATTTCTGAGCCAGCTTGGGAGCCCAGGGTACAAGACTGTAGCTCAAGCTGTGAATCTGCTTTGATACTGGCTTATTAGCCATGATGGCCTTATAGTCAGGAATTCAGATCTGCTAGAACATACCAGCTCAGCAACCCAGCACTTATCTCTGTGGATGCCATCTTGTGCTCCAGGATCTCATTTGTCATTTAAAATAAATTCAGTCTCTGGGTCTTAAATGTTGCAAAGAAAATCTTTCAAATGCGAATGGAGAATAAATCAATGCTGTGCTGAAAAGAGTCTGAAACAGCAGCTCTAAAAGCAGAATGAATCTCTGGCATGTTGACTTTGAAGCCTAGCTGGCAATCCAAAACTTCAGTGTTCTTAATTTTTCACTAGTAACCAAAGCATTCCAAATCGAAAAGAACAGTCAGGTTATTAACTTTTGAGGGGTGCAGGTAAGCAAACTCAGGAAAGCGTCACCACCTTTTCACATTAACAAAGATTAGATTAGGCATAAAAAATAATCTGGTGTTATTAATCCGAATTATTTTCAAGTCAGATGCCATGCTTTTTTTCCTCTCTGCCTCTTTCTCTCTCTCTCATTCTCCCCATTTTCAGTAACAGGCTCCCAAGCTGCCAGAGCTACCTCTGGCCGGGTGAGGAAAATCCATTCTCCCCAAGACGGTCATCAACAGAAATGCCAAATTTAATATATGCCCAGTAGATTTCACAGTTTACTGCTCAGTGCAACTAGCCATGCTTCTGGTTACATCCACATTGCAAATGCTGGGCTGGGCAACGCAAGGCAGTTTTGAACAAGGTTCAAATTAAAACATAGTGAGAATAGAAAGGAAAAGCTGTTGTGCTATGCATTGATAGAGAAGTGGAAAGAAGCATTACACTAAGCTCTTTTTCATGTGTTTGAGTGACACTCCATTTGTATTTCGTCCTGGAGTGCAAATTTGGGTAAGATCTAATTCATATATATATAAATACATATATATGTATATATTCAGGGACAAACGCTGTCCTCAATCGTACCTGTACAAATCTAGCTACAGTGATGTAACTGAGAAGAGCAAATTGACACCCATTGTATATTGGAACGTGTGCGTATATTTACACAGAAAATACACCCATATTCACACATGCAGAATATTAACATGTAAATAGAATGGGTGCAAGAAGGTTGATTAATTTTTCTTTCAAGTCATTTTCCCAACAGGGAAGGCACTGAAGAGGTTAACAAAGAGAATGGAAAGCAAATTGACAATAGGGAAAGGAAAAGGGAAATGAGGTTGAAAAAAAAATGAACAATCCCAGGACACAATAGAACCAGAAGCGCAGACATGTGCATTCCCTACAATACTGAAGCAAGTGAACTACGGAGCTGCAGCAACCCAGATACAGAAGAAGAGAAGCACTGAAAGAGGGGGGGTGAAAGTCAGAAGGAAAGAAAAAGAAAAAGAAAGGGACAGTGGCCTCAGCTACTAAGACAACCATGTGCATCTAGAGGGAAGGGACCCTTAAAGATGCAGTATTCCTTTAAAAAAGACATCATAAAGTTGGATAATTAAACACTGGCCAAAAATTTAATGGCCACCATGATTAGCTGGCCCCATTTTGCTGGGGTTCTCTTTGCTGCCTATCCCTTCCTTTCACGTGGCTGTGCACAGATCCAGAATGCAGGTCCTCTCGCTTTCCCACCACTGAGGTCCTTCATCCTAATTCTTGGAAATGGGAGGGAGGTAAGACCACAGCAAATGTGATCCTCCAAAAATCAGCCTGGTCCTTCCATGGGAAGGACCCTGGGTGATCCTCGTGCAGTGCTCTAACCTTTTCCTCCTGTACTCTGCAAAATATCACCTTTGAGAGGGAACATGAAATGCCCGTGTGTATTTAAGAAATTCCCCCAGCAGTTACTGAAGGGTCATTTCCTCTGTTCCTAACACAGCTGTAGCAGCTGCTAGAGAAGGACAGAGGGACAACGAATGGTGCTGGGAACATCTGCTGAAAGACCCTTCTCCTGTCACAGACAAAATTTCTGTACTTCTCTCGCTGGACCTGACTTAATTACTGTGGAAAAGCTCACCTTTGGAGTAGTTTCAGAGTAACTTCTAATGAAAGAAGTGCCACATGTTCAAGAACAGAACTTACATAGAGGGGGAATCAGAGAAAGGAAAAGGAATTTCCATGTCTATGGTAACAGTCCAGGAAAGTCCAGCCACTAAAGACTGCATAACCACTACTTCTTCATGGCTGTGAAACTTGAGGGTTTCTAACAGTCCAAATCCAATGGTTGTTCCTATCTTGGCATCTTAAAGAGGGTGCTTTCCACACCACGTGAGGCACAATCTCTCCTGCAGATGCACGATGTTCTTCATCGTGGCAGGTTCAAGACTTGAAACGCTGTCCCCAAAGGACTGCCTCGGCCTGCAAAAGGCCAAAACAGGGGCTGTCCCTCACACATCCTACAAGTCTCCTGAGGCTTAAGGGCCACATTTATCTTCAAATAGAAAGGTTTCTATTAAAAAGGGAAATGGAGAGAAGAATGGCTTGCCAAGTTCATGGGTTCCTTTAAGGAACCCACTGCTTCCCCCTTTTTGAATCATATGGAACACTCCTAACCTTTGGGTAAGCTAAATGTTTGTCCAGAATGTATAAGGATTACATTTTGATGAAGAATTATTCATTGGGATGCTGGATTTTAACATTAGAGAAAAATTCTCTTCCTCTGAGGCCAAAATTTTAGGAACAACATGTCCACTAAAAACCTTCCCAAAAGCCTAAAATTTTTTTTTTTTTTTTTTTTTTTTTTGTTCATGGACACACATGACTCCAACTCCCTAAATCTGGTGGCCTGCGTGTCTCCCACTGTGCCTCTATTCACAGTTGGGAGTTACCCTTTTTGTTACTCTTCACCATCTGTCACTTGAACTGCTAGGTGGGAATCATCCTCCAAAAACTCTACCTTCGATCATCTTTTCCTCGTGTTCTCTGGTGCAGCTAGGGTAGTCTTAGGGAGTTTGTCCCTCACCTACAGGCACTTAACATCTTGGTCTATCAGACAGGATTTCCAAAGCTTCCTACCACTGTCGTTGTTGACTCAGTTGTGCTGCTGTTTCTAGTGCTGGGAGTAGAGCACTCTGGGCTTTCCTAGTGTTTTATGATCCATCCTTCCCAAAGCAGTCTTAGCAAATACGTCTTCTACCCTGGGCATCCTCACTCATGGCAGAACTGAACCAGGAGAAGCAGCAGGATGAAATTTTAGTGGGGATAACACTGGTACAGTCACAGGATGCATTGGGGATAGCCTCAAATAAACGGTACTGTACAAAAATATATGTGTAGCGTGGGGCTGTAAATATCCCACCCTCTTTGTTTCTCTCTAAAGAGAGAATAGCTATGCCCCCACACGGAGAAGGTAAGTACTGCATCTTTAAGGTCTCAGCAGTGAGGTAGAGGAGAGGAACATATTGTCAGTGTTTATACCTTTCTTCTTTGTTGAATTTGGGATTGGCTTCAGAGATATCCAGGCTTTTACTGAACATTGTTTTACTATGGCAGGAACAAAGCGAGAAAACAGAGTTACTAGTGAGGACATTCATAAAAGAGAGTCACCTGAAGCAATGCTGGACACCCAGCCCCCCAACCCATCCTCCCCGCTCTGAAAAACCTTTCTTTTACTTTCCAACTACGGCTCAAACCTACACAGTGCTGAAGTTCATTATCTCCCCCTGACTTCTGAGGTCTAAGACAACTTCCCCCATACATACTTGTAAACCCTGCTCTCCTTTATCCAACTGAAAACCCAGGTACCATCTACTTTGTCACATTGTCCAGGGAAAACAGAATATGCCTGAAGGCACAAATTACAAAGTGCTCATTACTCAGACTTTTCTAGAGGACCTCAACACGAAGTACAATCTGGGAAAAGGTTAAATCAGACCATAGAGCCTCTTAGAGGAACAGTAATCCATTTTGCATTCTGATTTGTAGGGTCCATTACCACCTACTCCCAACTTTCTTTCCTATACTCAGTGTATAGACAAATGCCCTCCTTTATCATCTTGGGTCTGAATCCCTGAAGCTCAGAAGCAAAATTCCCTACGCTTTGCTAAAGGGGCAGCTCTCTGTAATGTATTTCACTGGTAATATGCTTCACTGTTTCACAGAACACTGGTCCCTAATGTTAGCTGATCTTTCACGCAAGCTATCCACTTCAATAACCAGAAGAAAATGAATAGCTAATGAGGCCCATTTTAGAACAGTTTGTGGACTCTCATGGCAGAACTGCTGAAAAATTCTGGCATATACCCGAGGGATTCTAGCTCCCGTGGAATCCTTCCTAGTCTGTGTGATTTTGGCACAGGGGACAAATTAGCTGGTGTTAAACTAAGCTCAGAACCTACCTCTTTTCTTCTGACATTTCAATGAAATACCAGATAGTCTGAGAGGTGTGGATACCACAACAGCAGAAGGAATTAAGAAGTAATTATGAACCCACTTAGTTGACAACTAGCAGGGAAAACCAAGAATTAACAAAACTTAGTTACCAGTTTTCGGGTGGCTGGTGTTTGTGCATACTAACTTTGCCATATACAGAGACCCAATGGAGAACGATTGGGGAAGTCAACACAAGCATTTCAAGGAGTCTGTAAGCTCAACAAGCAGCCTTTGTGCTGAGTTCCCCTCCTCTGTTATCTACAACTAAGCCACTGAAGGACTGTGCTTTTCACTTAATACCTTCTCAGACTGCAGGGTTGAAGGCTGCCAAGTTTCAAATCTCCATGGAAAGATATGCCCTTAAACAAGCCAAGACCAGACACTTGTAGGTCCCCACATAGTTACCAAAAGCATAGCTCATCACACAGACACATAAACCAGAGGTTGTAACATAAATCCCCCTTATGTAAGCAAACATCTGTTCACTACCGGGAAAGAGGACAAAAGGACTAAATCACAAGACACATGGGTGTGTTCTGCCCACTGGTTAGAAGACTAACTCTGCCAGCACAAGAAAGAAGCAATGGCTCTGTGTCTCCGGATGTTTACGTAAGTCACCTGTGTCTAAACGGGAAACCTGTTTCCATAGTCCACCTCCCTGTCTTCCTAGTATTGTAGGATAAAAGCACTGAACAGGCATCTGTTAAGACCAAAAAATGTCATTCTTAAAAAAGCATCCACCTCTGGGATCTAAGCCCTACTGCTGTAAAATCCACTGTCAGTGGGTCATTTCATGGACTATCATATGCAACTAGCCATTAAAAATCCCCCACTCTTGGTGGAAGGCACTTGTCATTTTGTCAGTGACTGCTCTGACAGATGGTGCCCCATCAGCAATGCATCGTCCCCAGACAATCCCCATGCAGTGGTGTTCATTAATGAAGCCAGTTCACGTTATAAACGACTGTGCTGCCAGCAACACAAAATGTGCCGTTGTCATCTGTGGATGTGGATGGTATGAATTATGGAAGCTCACACGTGGAGCAAAATAACATCTTCCCTTTAACCCCTTCCAAAACAAGCACTACCAAGCCCATCATCATCAATCGTGGTGTTACTACATCCCTTTCTCCACCCTTAATCACACCTTTATGTCCAGCCCTGAGCTGTGGTATGCATTGCCCTCTATCTCTTTTGTGCCTGGCAGATTTCGCTTCCTCAAGCTGAAGCCCTTCTTTACTGATATGTAGCTTGGATAGATCTCTGCTCTGAACTCCTCTCAGACCTTTTGACTTCAATTGTTTCTTCATTCCTCATGCAGAACTGAGACATCTAAAATCAAAAGGAATACTTTGGGTAGCAAGACACAGCTTTGCCTCTTCAGACTTTTGAAACCAAAGTCAAAGCTGAGAGCTGGAAGAAAAGGTTTCAGCTCTCAGAAAACTTTAGGATGAATCTAACACCTCCTATTTGTTCTGCCCAGTTGGACACTTACTGTGAACAGCTGCAGAGTACTCACAGGCGGCCCTGGGGTGGGGAAAGTGAGTCACCTCTGTCTGGCTCTGGGAGCTTCATGGCCCATGAATCTACCAGGTACCAGATCAAACACTACAGCTGAGTAAGGAGTGAGCAACTTCTTGTCAGTGTTGTGTTCATCCTTATCATTTGGAGGCCTATGGGGAACACTGAGCACACCCTGTCCCAAACACTTCCTTCGCCCAGACCTCACATCAAAGCAAACCACATACTCAAGACAGGTTTCCAACTTACACTACAATGAAAAATCTTTACGGGAGTGTATCTCAAAGCCACATGTCTGATCTGAAATAAGGCCCAGCAGATTCTGGAAATCACCACTTTTCCTCACTGTAGGTAGAACTGTCACAGTTGCCAGCAAAACTTTCCAGCAGTCCAAGGGGCCTCTGGACATGAAATTATTTCATGTTCTTCACCCAGTTCTCAGTCAGTAAAGGGAGTTTCTGGGTTACAGCAAGCTCTTTTTGAGCAGATCTTAACAGCTGAACAAAAAAAATCATGCCATAAAGCTGTAACAGAAGTTACAGCATCATCATCAGCATACATGCATGTGAAGTGTTCTTTTATATTGATTGATCTATGCAAGTGTGAATCCAAATGCATGTGTTTCCCTCAGGCTAGTCATAGGGACTGAGGAAGCAACTTCCATGATTCACATAAGTGAACTTCCAGAGTTCACTTACTCTCCCAGAACCTGCCTTGAGAAGACACCATCTTCCTCTGCTGTTTCTCCACAAGACCGATACTTTCCTTGCTAGAAAAAAGGCAAAATTATATACATATTCCATCCCCTTATGGGCATGCGGTAATTTATATGTGGGTCAGGTGCATGCTGGCTCTGACAGCACATTTTAAAGGCATCTACAGATGCCTGGACAGGGCTTTCCAGATTCAAGCCCTTCTGATGACATGGAGGGTGGGTTTCCTCTCGTGTAACTTCTGGTGCTCGAAAGCTAGGCACCTAATCCAAGATAGTCATCTAGATTCCTGCTGTAGGCTATGGAGACAGAGAGGAACACCCAGAGGGTAAATGATCCCATCTAAGATTGTTGGAACAGAGGCCATATGTACCTGAGACCTTCCAAAGCCCTCGTCTGTCCCCACTGCCTAGAGTGACAGCCTCTATCACGAGCTTGGACTGAATGCCTATGTTCTCGACAATTAAAAAGAGGTGAGATGAATCTTGCCCAGAGGATGTGGTGGTTCCCTGAGCAATAGCTGCAAGCGAACAGAACCCTTAAGCCCCTGGCAGGACTTCTGGTCCTGTGTGCGCAAGTGCTGCTGGCTGCCAGATCATGTTGCAGACGTGCTTGGCAGTTGTAACGAGCGCTGGTGCGAATAGAAAAGCTCCACAGCTCCTTTGCCTGTACACCATAAAATGGGGGGTAGCAAACCCAGACCGGCAGGACTCCTGGGTGAAGGAGAGACCCACCTCTGTCCATGTTGTGCCATTTCAATAGCTCTGCGAGCAGGGACTGGGGAGCCGCCATCTGTCACACTGAGAACCTCCATCGACTTCCTTTCTGGCCGCCGCTTCCCATGCCTGTTGAGCATTGGGGAGTCCACACGCTTCCTGGGGGGATCTTTATGAAAAGAAAACGCTGTCAGCTGAATTCGGCCGTGATTTACCCCACACAGGTTGGTTTAAAGCCTCTCTCAACAAGCTCACTCTCACACCTCCCCGACAGAGACAGGTATCTTCGTGATGAACATTCGCAGTCTCTCCCTTCTTCCAAATTTGCAAACATAAAGACATGAGTTGCAATCCGTCTACAGAGGGAAGGAGCACTGCTACTGCCCTGAATGTACGAGCACTGTAAAATAAAGGTGCAACAATAGCATAGCTTGCAGAAATTACCTTACAAAGCTGGTAACAGTAATAACAAGATGACAGCATGGGCTATAGCACAATCTGTTAGCCAGAGTGTAAGCCATCTAGGGATCCTGTATACGCACTCAGGTTGCTAGAGCATGCCTTCGATCTCCCTGCTAGCTAGATTAAATGTGACACAGGGACATGAGTACACTCTGAACTCAGAATAGCATTCTTTTTTTTTTTTTTTTTTTTTTGCATCTTTAAGATTAGAGTTCAGGTTTTCCCCGCTGCTTTATATTTCTTCTGCTTCAGCATTACAAATTAAACATACTTGTCTACCTGAGATGAATCTCCAGTGAGAGTTACTAAAATTTATCTCAGAGGTCATCGTACAGCTTTTACTGCACTGAAGTGCTTTATACTTTTTATTGTATAATATTTCTATGAGGTATTGAAGTGCTACTTCCACTTTGCAGAGTGAAAACTGAGGTATATGAATGAGATATTTAAAGGCAATTCTTTCCTAAAGGTGCTTACAAACATTTACTGAGGTTCTGAGGAGCACCTAAATTGCTCTGAAAAGAGTCTTGAGATACCAAACTGTCTTGCAGCAGGTGACTTGCCAAACCATACACACCTCTATGGTGAAGCAGGGAACCAAATGCAGACCTGCTGAGATGTTTTATTACTAACATCTCTCATGGCATCAAAACAGTAAAAAGGAGGAAGCCAGGAAAAAAAATACGGTTTCTTTGGTTGGGCTATTTCAGTTCCCTGCCTCTACTTACAAGACACATTTTTAATTTTAGCAGAGAGTGACCACCTGTAAAAAAAGGCATCCTTCACCCCCGCAGGTAGAAAGAAGCTCACGGTGTCCAGCCCCTAAGGCTTCTTCCTTTGCCAGGATTCCTTTGTAAACCCAGAAATACCACATTTGACAATTCTACCTCTATTGCCCAGTCTCACGGTATTACTTTCATTATCCTGCCCTCCTCACACTGCCTCATCTACTCGCTTGTTTCTTCTCTCTCTCACATCATGCTTTTTAGAACAAGACCTCTTTAAGGCAGGGCTTATTCTTGAAACAATAAACATGAGCAAAGACGGCTCAAATGCAGTCGGACTAGTGATAACAGCTGACCCCGTTACTGTATAACCCAAGTATTCTTTGTATTAATAGTAACAATGTTCCTGTTAAAAATTAATTAGAAGAAAAGCAGTTGTATCTCACTGCATTTCAGACTATTTCCAGTAATAAAAAGGTAGTAGAAAATACCAACAGGGGCAGATTAGGAAAAATCTATAGTGCATAAAGCTGAGGGAAAAACAAAGGCAGGTAAACCTAATAAAGCAGTTATACTGGGTGTCTTGAGCTGCACGCATGTGAGTGGTCAAAAGCTGGGGCAAGGTTTAGGCATTTCAAACTCCTGCTTCTTCAAACAAGTTCAAAGAATGAGAAAGGATTCATCCCCCAGGACAACTGCTGGCATCAGAAGTGTGACGAGAGCCGAGTTACATAACAGCAATGTAAGTACGTTTGGTATCAACAACAGAGAGTGGATACAAGTTTTGCGAGAGGTATCAGACGTTAGAAAGGAAGGTGGAAGACTGCAGTTTAAAAGGAAGGAAAAAGAAAGAAGGCGAAGAATGCAGCTAATATCAAAAGAATGGAGATGAGTAAGCCCAGGCTGCATCAATGTTAGTTAATAAAAGAGTCTAAACAAGTAAGATGGAAAAAAGCAAGAAAAACATTTTATAACAAGATATTTTAAAAGGCAATTTCATCCAAGCATGTTCGAACCAGAAGACTTTAGCAAATGGATGTTCAGCTGTGTGACACTTAGAAAAGTTACAGGCCAAATGTAAGGTGTACATTAAAAGACAGTGAAGAAGAAATTCGAAAAGGAATTAGCTAATGACTTGAATAACAGTGTTTTCTACAGCCATCAGAAAGAGAAAGCTTGAGAGAAGGACAGCAGCCAGAGGGACCATGAGGGAATCAGCAGAACAACTAAGGAGTAAAAGGATATTGCTAACAAGCTAAATGGTTCTTTTGTATCAGTCCCTGCTGCTCAAGATTTTAAAGTATCAAAAACAGAGACTAAGCAAAAAGAGCAGGTGGTGAAACACACCTATAAATTCAACAATGGCAATTCACAAAAGTTTGATGGAAAATACATCCAGAAGCTCGCATGAATGTGGCTGAGCTTCTAATAAAGGTATCTGATTTTTCTTAAAAAGTGGCTACAGTCCTACACTATACATGGCTCAGGGTAGCAAGTATTGTACATACTTTTTGAAAGGCTCTGAGTAAGAAATGACAAGGCACCGAGTCTGCCATCACTAAGTCTAAAGATACTAAAGAAATAGTTAAATACACAGTCTTCCATAAAGACTAAAGTGGCGTCATACAAAAGCAGGAGAGGATTTTGCAGAAGCACAGAGTTTAAAAATAGGAAAACCTCCAGAGTTTGCCCTTCTCTTCTTGACTCTCTGGAAATAGTTCACATGGGGGAAAAAAAATCAAGTCCTAGTCTGGATCTGTGATAATTTTGAGGATGCATTTTGCTTTTATTTCACATCAGAAAAGTGAAGCCATTTCTAAGGATTTTTACAGAGGAAGAAAGAATCACATAGGTAATGATCCAATTATAAAAGCATTCATCTGGAAGTTGGGAAATAAAGGTTCAACTTCTGAGTTTGGATGAGGCACCTATATGCCATATGACTATTCTGGCTCAATCTCTTGGTTTATTAAGAAACTCCACCCCACAAAAGCCTTTTCCTCAAGGAGACATTAGCTGACATTCATTCATTTTACTGAGAAGTTTCTCGTTTCCGTGTTTTCAGGGAAGGAAAATGGAGCTGGACTTGAAAGATGGTGGAGATGGCCCTTTCCCAGCCCTTTGAGAAAGCTTCATACAGACAAAAGGGACACCAGAAGAGAGTGCTAGTCTAAGCTGGCCGTGTTTTTACTTGCATCCATCCTTTCTGAGACCTAACATGCCAAGAAAGAAGAAAAAGCAAAATACTCTGAGATGCACTTTTCTATTTTTTTGGCAAGAACTCAGGTAATGCACAACTCTCACGAATGTGGTTTCTTCAAGCTGCTATTATTAAATTTGTCGCTTTTTCTCTGCTCTTCTTTCTGCAAGGCCATTGCTAACAGCTAATGATGAGATATTCATCAGAAGCACGACTGCTCTTAATTAAACCTTGCCCCATGTTCTCAGAGATGCTGCTGGGAATAGAGGAGGTGGAAACCCCCTGTGGAAGAGGAAATACAACCTACAAACACTCAAAGAATAATGCTCAAAGAGTCTAAAATGTGCCGATGAGGCACAATGACACATTCAGAGTAGTGTTTCCCTGTTGGGGAACATTTTCACTTCTTGTACAAAAAAAGACAAAAGTGGAGCACAGTATTTCAGTTTAAACCACGAAAATACTTTGGCGTGTGGAAGAGAGATATATGATGCATTTAGGGCATAACTACATATTCACTTACATGCTGGATATGAAGATTCTAGAGTCACCTTGCTTCTTTTCTTATGACAGAAGCATTTCTAAAACAAAATGATGGTGTCCTTACATGGCAAGATAATCTGTTTGAGTCAAAAGCTGATTAGTAAAGTGCTGGATGACAAACTGCACTGAGCAAGGGGCTTTATGACCACAGGACCTGCAGCTGGCACATCTACCCGTCTTCATCAGGAACCCTGCTAACAGGCTGTCTGTAGTTCCGTCCAAGTAAGAGTTTAAAAATTACTGTGTTGACTAAGAATTTCCGTCTCTTCTTTCATAGAAGAGATTTCCCTGCAAAATTATGAGGCCTGGAACTTGGATAAGGTAATATTTCAACTGAGTATTAACAGACTTACAGTTCAATATACCACTGCCCTGTAGGCTTGGGAGATTCCAGGCTTTCCAGCGAGAATAAAGAGCACTTTGCTTCTAGCCTTCAAAGTGCTGAAATATAATACTTGAAAATCACAACACTACTATGTAAAAATGCTACTTCAGGTCACTGACAGAAGCGACTGATAAGTTGAACTTTTGTCACTCTGCACAGCAAGAGTCACTTAGATAGTTAGCTGCTTAGGGAAGCATTTTTCCTGTTGTCTAGATTAGTGAAGTCCTTGGCAAACAGCAGTACCCTAAAACACTAATGAACAATTCTTCAGGAATAAAGTGGTATCACAAGAGCTCTAGAAGATATATAATCTTACTGCATATTAAGCTTTCAAAATCTAAGATGGTCTAAAAACATGGGAATTTGATATATGTACCATAAACAGGCGATACTATTCATACTTTCAACAGTGTCTTTACTTACCTACAGAAAAGAGAATGTGTACCTATGTAACTTCATAGAGATGAGAAGCTACACAGTCTTACCAGCTCGAGTCCAGAAGCAGCATTTCTGCAATACTGCATGTAGATTAGTTACTACAAAACTCTGCCACTAGACTACACTGCTTCTAAACCTCATCTGCTTACACAGATCCCACTTGGGGGTCCACATGGGGTATTTTAAGATCTGGTTCAAGACCAGCTTGGATGTTTCTGCACTCAGACATGTCCTGAAAAGTGAAGCCTTGGAGCCTAACCCCAGAACAGACCTGCCTGCCTCAGGCTGAGGCTTCTCACCAATGCTGTACACTGTTTCAGTGGGAAGGTAACAGTGATGCTAGGTTTTGGGTATACATTTAAAAAAGAAAAAGAAGGGGGACTACTTGAGATGGGTTCATGGTGACAGAGGTCATATCTGTAGTACCTATTTCATTTCTAGGGGGAAGATCCTCATCTTCATGACTAGGATATCTCTCCTTCCGGTCAAGCAGAAGAAAATAAATCATTTTCTCTTGGTTTTCTCTGAAAATAAGAAAAAAAAAAAACCTTTAAAGTTGAAGAGCAACAAACATCAACATGTAGATAAACCCTTCTCATCAAACAAACCGCCACAGTTATCCTAAATAAGCTGGAAATGGTCATGTACCTGCCAGATAGACACACAACCCACAAAGCTTTTGAGAACCTTGCTGTCTCCAACAAGCAGCTAGTGAGAAAAGGAAACACAACTCCCATATTACACACACAGAACAGAGGCACAGGACAGACGAGGTAACGTGTCCACTGGAAGCCCAGACCAAGAGTAGCAGCAAGACAGGTCTCCTGAGCCTCTGAGTGCTCTTTCCACTACATGTCCCTCTTAACACCTCAGGAAATACACCAGCTCTCAGGTGTAAGCTTGAAATAAATAAAAGTTTGCCAACAAAGGCATATCCAACACAAATCACAGCAATGATACCTCCCCATCTGGACTGCATGGCCTATTTTTTCATGAAGTGACCTTGCCTGGCAGCATGGGAAGAGGCAGCACCATGCCTCCTTTGCTCTCAGGCTGTGCGCTTCTGACACCTGGTGCAAGAACGGCTCAGTGCTTCCTCCCAACACCTCACTAGCAAATGAGCAGCCAGAGGGTGAGAAGCTGCTGCTGGTGCCTCACAGCGAGAGAGACATGAGATAAAGCGCTCTCTACCTCTCCCCAGGTTTATAAGCATCCCAGCCCGTGGACACCCAACTGATATGAAGACTGAGCAAGTGCTTACTCTTCTGACAACAAGTCCTGTAAGAGTTTATTTCGGTCACGGAAGCAGCCTAACGAGTGCATGCTATCTAACACGTCTGGATCAATATCCTCCAAGGAAGGGAGAGAACGAATCTGCACCTTTCGAGGGATTGGTTGCTCTGGTTCTGGCTCGTTCTTACCCCCTCTGCAGAGGAAAGAAGATGAGAGAGAAAAAGTGGGCAGGGAAAGAAGGAGAGAAAAGAAACATGAGTCACAAACGAACCCGTACTCTGAAACACAGCCTGCAGCAACAGATGGAAATAGCTTGTTAAATTCCCACTGAGAGACCAGAGCTCCCAACCACGCAGATATTCTCTTCAGAAGAAACCGCCGTGAAGGCTAAGAGTGACCAGCACCTTGTGGATTTGGGTCTTTACTGAAAAATGTCTGCGTTCAGTCAGAGAGGCAGTAGAAACTTCACTTACCAGTGCCCTCATAATTTAAGCAGCTGTTCAGCGTCCTGATGTCAAACATTTATAAAACACTACATGGTTTTAGAGATGCTGTCTCATCAGCAGGCCAGACCTCAGGCAATTGGGCTGAAAAGTGCAAGCTGATAGACTCTGAGAGCTGTGAACAAACCATCACTATTTTTCCACAATTCTGGTTACAACCGGCATTGTAGCAGTTTCTTTCTTCAAAGCTTCCAATGTGATTAAGAGATCTCAGTGTTCAGGTCCCCACTTGACACACTTTAAAGGGTTATTGGGGAAACCAGGTTGTTTATCTACATGCCCAAATAAGACAATCTCCGCTTCTCTTCAGGCACTCAAATTTGAATATTGTGGCTCAGGTATGATGCCCAAGGTCAGTGGCAGACCTCGGAATATACATTTAGCGGAAGAGCGTATTACTCTTTTAAAGTAGTTAACGCAGGCTTTCTGCATAATTATCTCATCCCATTCACTGGGCTCAGGAAATATTGATTATTCGTTGCAGTTAAAGGCCCTGTCTGTAAGAAACAGGTCAAGGTGTCAGGGTATCTATAACCAACCCAACGATATCTATCGCAGGCACCCCGCCTATCCTTTCGTTTTGTTTAGGCAGGCAGCGAACAATTTATGTAAACTCTGTCCACCCGAAGAGGTGGCTTTGGCAGTGGTGGCATTTTGGTTGGAGAAACTGTCTACCCCAAATCTTTGCTGTTTCTCAGCGGAAGCTTTGTACAATGTTGAGGTTTTCATACTCCTCGAGAGGGGTCCTCCCTTTCCTTTATGTGATGTAAATGTGTGACTGTTGTTTTCAGGCTCCCAGGGTGGGCAACAGGAATTGGGAATGTTTAAACTGCATCAGACGTCAGCGTTTGCTGTTTACGGGGCTGTGTTTGGGTAAGAGATGCTTCCTGTTGATGCTGGCAGAGAGAAGGTGAACACAGCTTGTGAACTTCCTTGCACAGCCTAAAGTGCTCTGGGCTCAGCTGTGAGCTATCCGAGTATCTACACACAAAAAGGAGCTCCAATTCAAATGCCCCTAATTTTTCTTGGGTAGGTTAGAAAGCAACTCTGGTAGGATCATATACAAGATCTCAGCCACTGTACCAAAAGGAGAGCCAATGCAGATTATCTCCAAGGTATGAAGGCAATACGGAGCCATTGCAGCCAGGGCTCTGATGCAAGGGCAGGACAGTTACATTGCTACACCTTAATCACAGGAGGCTGCTGGGTGCTACTTGCAATTTATTTTTAGGCAAGTTGAAATGCAGTTGTGAGGCACCTGCTCTGTTAAGCATGTTTGTGGGACATCACTTGCAGAAAGACTCCTCGGAAATTTTTATTTTATCTTCTCTCGAAGCAGTGAAAATGTGCTCAGCCCTTTTTGGATACCTGTCATGGAGTCAGACTCTGGTGTGCATTACATGGGCCGTGACAACATGGGTCAGAACCACTTCTCTTACACTGAGCACTCACACACCCCCTGCTCAGTTTTACTCACTTTAGGGGGCTGGAAGCAGAATAAACAGGACAGAGAAAAAACCTGCTCCTTAGGATTCGTTCTTGTGTGTCAAACCACTAAAACACAGCTTCTGATTGCCCCCCTGGAGTCTTGCAGAAGTGTCTATGTCTCCTGCAATGACACCACGGTCCTGAATCTAAGGGCTAGATTTGGAAATCCCTGTCCAACTAAAGAAACATCTTATTCCTTGAGTGCCCTGTCTTTAACAGGTAGCTTACTCCTACCTCTTACGATCAGGATCTAGCTCTCAGCAGGTACTCTGCAAAGATTGTATCATAACCTTGCACTATTAAAGCCACTGATGACCTTGTCACTAAGATAAATTCTTGCAGGATGGCCCTTTGAACAGCAGCTGAGTGTTTTTGTTTTTTAATGATCTGCAGTTCACTTTCTGAAAAAGTATTCACTTAATTAATCATTCATTATATTACAAGCAGATGTCTTTAAGGTAATTTAAAGAGATTAAAAAGAATTATTGTTTTTGAAAATTTGCAGAAAATCTGGGTTTTCTATTAGTTGCCCTAGTGTATAGCAGAGTATCACCTACAAGCTTCTTTTGTATCAGTCAGTGTGGGAGCCATTTCTAGAGGGCACAGCTTGCCATCTTCTGTGCACTGAAAAGTGGCTTTTCCTTATGCCCTGCACCTGGTCAGCCGCAGACAGAGTCAGGAATTTTCACATCTTCTCATCAGGTACAAGCAAAATCTGCAAAGAGGCACCTCGGCATTTGGCAACGCAATTCAGTGCTTCAGGAAATTAAAATCACCAGGTCCGGGCTGTGATTGGCACGACTGTATTGCCTGTTCCATTCTCAGTCTGGCAGAGAGTGGTGACAAATTTGTTGCATTTCAGCCCACACAGACATAAAACAACGTCACGCGACGAATACTGCAGATCACGTATATTTTTTAAAGGCCCGCATGAATGTAATTGCTGCGTTCAAACCCATCCTCTTTTGTGAGGATTGGTGCACACAATGGCTGTGATTCCAGACCAGGGAGGACATTTTCAGTCTCTCCATGGAATTCCTTCATGAATCTCACCGAGGTGCACATCTGCATCAGTGCAAAGCAAAGCGGAGCTGCTACAGTTATTCTTTTTCTGATTTTAGTAAATTTAGTATCTTCACAATTAGGGCAATAACTCAGTGTTATTACAGGAGTATGTATTTACCATAATAGCTAATTGTATTTGCCCTCCTGCTTTATTTAACAAAATGTGAAAATAACAGCTGTTTATTTGCCGATTTATGATGACCCGTGCTTAAGGTAAAAACAGAGATGATTTCAATTAAAAAGGCTTAAAAATCATCACTGAATTAATTTGGGTGGGAGAGCAAGAAGAACTGGAGGTTGGTGGTGAAAGGATTCTCTTTGGTTTCTTTTTTCCTTTTTTTAGGTTTGTGAATCATGACTTCAACTTTCAAGACCTCTTTCTCTGTCCGCCCAGTCTGCAGTTAAATCTCTTCCTCAGTTTTACAGTAGCCTTAATATTTATTTGAAGAATTAAGTGAAATCACTTGTATGTTCTGAATACAACTTTTAGGTCAGTAACCTCTATATATGACAAAGAATAAAGATTTTACGTAGAATAGTAGCGTTACATGAAATAAAGAAAAAATGGAAGATGTGAGCAAACAACCACGGAGTAGAACACTTCTAACCCTTCCTTCTCTGTCAGCATCAATATTTCCAGGCAAAATGAATGCAAAGAGGCTGTGAAACATTACCAGATGAAAGTAGTTGAGTTTTGGAGGTGGCAGGGTTATTCACAGAATAAATTTAGCCAAAGGAGGTTAACCTCCTTAGTTCAATCCATGGCCGGTACAGAGAAAATGAGAAAGAGACTCATTAAAAAAGTTATTTTGAGCAGAAACTTTGGTTTAGGCAATCTGAACAGACTTCCAGAAGAGCCCTTCTCTCTCTGCACTGACTACACTGGGAGTCTAGGGGAGACTTGCTTTGGCAAAACTCAGTTGCTACATCTGAAAACAGCCTCAAGTGCTCTTTCTGTTGGGGTAAAAAACTGCTTACTGTGTCAATCATCAGAAAGTCTGACCTGTATGGAGAAGTACGTGAAGATTTTCAAATGCTTATGTCTGCAAAGAAAAAATTCCTCAAATTCTAATTCTAGAATAAAGTAATGAAACACCACCTGCCTAATTGTGCATGTGAGCCTGGGACAATAGTTCTCCGACAGGTAAAAACTTCCAGGCAAAAATCTTGAGGAGGGTTAGAATAGTAAGTGATCAGTGACATTTAATTTTATTTCCTATTCCAGGTCTGATCAAAGCACAGAGAAATTCAGCTGATTGCACTCCATGAAGAAAGAGAGGGGATCAGCTGTCCAGTCTGATGTAAACAGCATTTACTTCTGGAATTGCTAATAAGACATTATAGGAGGGGTATTATTACAATTAGAGATTTCCCCCTTCCATTTCTCCTACATTTATCCATGAGTTTAGAAAAAACCCCACACCTGCAGCAAATGACACTCCAGTCCTTCTTTGGTTTAAAAAGGTGCCATGTCAACTGGTAACTGCAGAGAGCATGAAAAAGCCATGGGCAGAGTGCTGTCACCATTTCAGGTGAACTAAGAAAAAAACAGGTTATGCAACAAACTGTTGAATGACCTCAGGTCCTATCAAAGCCAGATAAATCCAGACGTGAACACTGCCCATAAAATAGAGTTAGAGAAAACAAAACAAATCAAAGCAAAGGTGTTGTCTTTTTCCCTGGTGACAGGCTTAAATATCAGTTCATATCATCCTCATGTATTTCCCAAGAGCAATGAGAGGATTATGAAGGCAGGACTTTCCTTATCACCCACCTGGGGAACCTGTAGGTATGCCGACCGCAAGAAGCATGTATCAAAGCATCATTTCCTTGTTTAATATATGAAGTATTCGCCTTAGTTTGATTAGCTTATCATCAGCATATAAAAAAAAATGTTATTTACTCAGGTTTCTTGCAATGCTATTAAGGCTACACAAAGTGCAAGGTCACTTTTAAAAGCCATCAATCTTCCTTATACCCAAACCGCTAGACAGGCGCGTACTTCTGTCACAGACCTCCTGATTCACTGTCAAGACTGCTGCTTTTAATCAAGCCACAGAACTACTCTTGCATCAACAGGTTACAAGGGCAGAAGCGGCCTCTTAGCTTGCTGTGAAGGAGTAGGGATTATGAGACAGAAAAACTCTTGTTCACATGTGCCTACTTATCAATATCATCATTTTTGTTTCTACTTCAGAGAAAAGCCAAGATGCCGAGAAGGAGCAAATGAAAGCTTTCTTGTCAAGAAGGTGTTGCAAGGGATTGTCTGAAGCACTTGGATAGCAAACTAAATATGGCTGTTGGGGTTTTTTTTTGCTGATCACTTGCAGGTATCTTTTTAATACAGCAAGTTGCTGGACTGAACGTCTTATTTCAAACAATTCTTAGCCACTGTATAAAAAGTTCCTGGCCTGAGATATTTTTAGATGAAATGATACGAGTAGCAAAGGGTAAAAAACCTAAGTAAATGCCTTTCTTTCCTCTGCCCCTTTCTCCACCTCTGTGAAAGCTGCTTTCAAACTCTTCAGAGATCACTAGACTACTAGTTCCCATAACAGAAGCACTAATGAATGCATGCAAAAGTGAATTAAAAAAAAATGTTACTTACATATACCATATGTGTTTCTGAATATGTTCTAGCTGTAAAGGAAAAGAAAACAAGGAATTAGTGCTGTAAAATAGAAAAGGTAACTCCACAAGACATACTTATTCAAGGCTTATTCAAGTAAGTCCAAGATTCCAGAGATAGACCTGTGCAAGCAACAGGAACTTTATGCATTCTCATCCTCACTGGAAATAACACTGTAATTCTGGACATAAGGAATCAGTCAGGAGCAAATCCCAGGAAAATGCATAAGTACAAGGCTTCACAGGCAAGTGAACTTTTTCCTTCTCTAAGCCCTTCCCCTCTGTAACCCAACTGAAGCTAACAAACCGCTCCTTTCTGCATGTGCGTAATAGCTGATTCTTTATACCTAAAGTTAATTTCTAGTTTTGGTTTGGAAAAAGAGAGAGAAGGGAATAGAAACAGGTTCAAATAGATAATGTGAATAAACAAAAGAAATTGTCCATGTGTGATTTGACCTGCTGCCAGGAGCCATTCTTGATTGGCTTCACATTTATCATTAAAATCTAAAGACCAAGTAGAATAAGGTTCTGTGTCAAAACAATATCATTTATTGTTCCAGCACCTGAACACCAGACTGCAAATTTCTTTTACTTCCCTTTTTCCTGTTTCCCACATGAGCATTTTACTATGTAATGACAGACTGATCATAGCTGAACAGTGGCCTTGTCCACCCACAGAAGGCAGATCCCAGCAAAAGTTACATGATGACCATGTTTTCCACAAGCATGGCAAAAAGAAACACCCTTTTTCCAAGAGAAAAGCCTAACAGTAGAGAGAACAAAAAGTTCCTATGACATACATGCAGCAGAACCTTCCTAATCTGTTTTGTTTTTTTTTTTTTTTTTGAAGCATCACCACAGTAGAAAAGAACTTTTCACAGATGCCCATGGATTATTCACTATGCGGACAATAATTCTCATACTCCTCATTATGAAGCACCTTTGTATGCGCAGAACAATATGCACACTGACTTTGTGCAACGTGCAGGTGAGAGGCAGGAGAGAGCTGGAAGGAAACTCAAGTGCTAACAGCTATAAGGTAAAATCATAGACCCATTAAACTGGTCAGGAAGAACAGAGACAGCTGTCTTGCTCTTATTACTTTCCACTTCAATTTCAGAATAATGAGAATCAGGGGGAAAAAAAAGAAAAAAAAAAGAGGAACGGACAAAACAACAAAATCTCAGAGATGGAAAGTAAGTGTTTGCCACAGAGAGCAAGGAATCAGAGACCTCTGAGCTATGGAACAACAGCTCCGTGCCTGGGAAACCAGGAAGAAATGAAGTTGGCTCTATATGAGAGAATTTCTTGAGTGAGACAGGGCTTTTCTTGAAAACAAAGAAACAAGGCAATGCAACTTAGGAAATCATGGCAGGGGGCTGGACGGATCAGTCCAAGAGACAAACAGCATCCTTTAAAACCAAGACCGTACTGACACTGCAATCAGAGGTGCAGTTGGTACTTGCATATCGAGCTGTCTCCTAACCAGCCCGGGTGCTGGGAGCACCAGTGTCCCCCAGCACACACATCCACAGGCCTGGGCAGACCTGCACAGCTTCCAGCTGCGGCCTCAGCTCTGCCACAGTGATTCCCTTTCATCACAATTCCCCTGGCACTAGGAAGTCCTTTCATCCCTGCACTGTTAGGAGAAAGGTGGTGTATTCCCGACACACTGCCATCTCCCCTGACCAGCTTAACTGGAGACAAAGTACAAGCTATGGTGTTCCCCTAACAGCCTGGAGACACTGCCCTCTTCCTCCTGGTTCTTCACAAGCTGAGGTACAAACACATAACAGAAGAAGAGCCCATCCTGTACAGTTTCCATGGGGCAGGATTTTAGCATGGTTACTTATCAGGTCCATCGTAGTGTGAGGATTTGCCAAGGAGTGTACCGTATCTCCTCTGCTTGGTAAAACCACCCTGTGAGATGCATATCTACTCACTATTTCACATACACCACATGGCGGGTTAGAGACATTAATGATTTGAGACAAGTTGCAGATGATAAAGCTAAGCGATGTCCAAGCCTCTTTCATGCTTGCTTCTCCTGCTGCATTTTCTGTCTCCGTGGGTCACATTGTTCTTTCGTGCCTGTAATATGCAGAAATGCCACGGCGAAGCAGACAACAGCACTTTATTTTCCGAGTCAGAGAGAAGGGGAAGAAAGGAGGGTCATCAGTTCACGTCTTAGTCACAGAACCTCTGGGTTCCTTCAGAGCAGATGTCAAAGAGAAATCCCTTCTGTCCATCCCTGCTGATCACCCTCCTTCGAGCTGATGAACCCAGAGCATTTTTCTGAAGGAGAAGCCCCGTGGCACCTTGATATGCATCTGAAGGTATATGAGAGTTCTCCTGGTTCCTGCTTGCCTATGCATCTGCCATTCAATCCACATCAAACCACTGCTGTGAAGTATGCTGGGATATCCCAGATATGAAAAGTATTCTACGAAACCAATTTCTATTCTGATCCAAACGTAATTGCATTGAAATGTTATTACAAGTGTGCTTGCTGCTGCCAACATCTTCACTGCTTTTTTAAAGGTAATTAATTAATGCTTTGTTGCTTTTCATCAGCATTAAAGTGACAGGAGGTTATAGGAGGGCGATTGGTTTTGACAAGGAGAAGTCTGTGTGCTTTTTACTATGCAGTGCAGGGGAGGGAGAGACACAGTGGGAGCTAATCTCACTCCTGCCTTCATTTAAACACAATGTTTAAATGCATTTGAGTGACGAAGGCATTTAACAACCCTTCCCAGAGGGGTCTTCTTGTTGTTTGCTCATGAGTTTGCCAAATCTAATGCCATTTTATGGAAGTTGTAAAAATGCTGCTTCCTAATATCTCCTAGGCACCGCAGGCAGTTGTCTAATGACGCCATCTCTGAAACAACAAAACATGCTCAGATCCACTGCACATGCACAGTTGGAGGAAAGACTTCTGCAAGCTAAAATGCTGTAATGGAATCAGAAGGGGAATTCCTTTATCATGGTTTTACGTCGAAGTTCCTCCAATATACACTAAACCTGTAGACTGAAGTAGCATCTAGGAGCCCCACTCACAGGTGAGAGACCCACTGTGATACAGAGCTGTACAAGCTCATCAGAAAAAGAGGTCTCCTCCCCCAAGGAGCTTACGTCTGAATTCTAAGGCAGGGAACAACAGATGGAGACAGACAGGCAGATGGAAAACAAGACAGCGCTGTCTACATCCTCGGCACTGATCTCAGCCGAGCGGTTGCCAAGCTAAAAAGTTCTGACCTGAAGAAAAACTTTCTCAAAGTCTGTGGATATGGATGAGGGCTTCTGGGCTTGAACTCACGTCAAATTTCAAACTTCCCTGTCCAGGAAAAGAACAGTCTCAAACCCATCTGTGCACTAAATTGACCCACATCTCAGACGAATCTTTGTCATTCAGGAGATCCTCTAGTCCGAGCTTTAAACCTACTGTATAATGTCAAGATGGAGGCTTTTCCTGACCAAAGAATTCAAGCTGGCCGTGCAAACAGCACTGGTAAAAAAAACACCATTATCTGTGTCAGTAGGATCAGCCGCACTATAGCAGCCTCCAGGGACCTTGACAAGGGCAAGGTACCCCTGTGCTACGTGCACGGTGCACGAGTAGGCCCTCTGCAGCCAAAAGCTTACAGCCTACGTACATCAACCGGACAATTACCTCCATTCTACAGGTGGTGAAGTGAGATAATGTAAAGGATGCGATTGGCACCTTACCATAAGACTTTCTAGAAAAATAAAGAAGGATTCAGGCGAGTTTCCCCTTGCTTATTCTTTTAACATCCTTTAGGTGCTGTGCTCCATCATTAGCACACCTTTAACCCAAGTAGAAACCAAATCAAGCAGAGTGCAGAGAGGAGATTCTGCAAATGTGTGTAATTTAAGTTGGATAATATTCAGGGACAGGTATTTCAGACTATGTGGACACCCAACACGGAAGACAAGTCACTCCGCTCTGGAATAGAATGTCAACGCTGGAGCAATAACAGCTTGTGTTGGGTTTGTGGTGCTCAGTTGCCCTCTGGGCTTAAACCATGACACAGCTTCATCAGAATAGCTTATTCTGCAATATCTGCCCTGATCCACCTTGCTCTACAGACAAAGTTCTGATAATGCTCATCCATCCTTAAAAGGAAAGCGGACCAAAAGCTCCTCACCCTCTCCCTTTTGCCTTTGTGCTTCTGTAGAAGAAAATAGCTGAGAACACAAACGGATTCCACTACAGGAGCTGTAATTCTCTGCTGTAGAGATGCTGAATCATTTGAAACCTCCAAGGAAAAAGCCGTTCATTTTCCGAAGAGCACACAAGTAAAAGAAACCTCACCCTGCAGTACTGCAGGCACCGAGAGCACTCATTCTCTTCCATAAACCTTCTCAAACTTAGAACTAGTTCATTTTTCCCTCCTGACACTACTCCTACTATAAACCTGTCCCAGAACCCCACTAATATGGCTAAAATGCTTCTTCTAATTTCTAGCCTACTTTCATGTAAGGCCATTTGACACACATTTGTTTTGGTGTCAGTATCTTCCTTCAGTTTAAATAAACCTTCTCTCATTAGTAATTGCCTCTAATGAATATGCAGACGACCGCTACAACCTTTCTTAGACATCATCTGTGTAGACTAAGTGGAGCTCTCTTAGGCTGTGCTAGTCAGACAGGCTTTCTCAAATGCTGACCACCTTAGTACTCATTCTTTGCTTGATTTCATCTTTCATTAATATGGGTGGTCAGAAATACCACGACCAGCAGCTAGGATCAACTTTTGCAGTGTACTGAAAGAAAAACATGGACTCTTTTATTTTAAAGCATGTTTAGTAAAACAGGCCTAGTAAAGGACAGTGGCCAAGGACATCCCACTAACCATACCTGAGGCCACAAAATATATGGGGAGCATGAACAGTGTTCCACTAGGACATAATAAGGTCTTCTTTCCACAAATGAATCATATACAAAGAAAGGTAATGCCTATTTCTTAAGGCAGGAAAGGGCCAGCAACAATAATTCTGAGTACCCTCCTCTTCATTAATCTTCTCAAGCTCTAACACTGGAGCCGAATGATGACAGTTAAACGTGAATGCAAGCTCTGTTTTTGTTGATCATTTTAACAGATGGACTGGGGAAGGTGTGGGTGTGCTGTGAAATGGCAATTACTGCAGGGAGGGAAATGCAGTTGGAAGAAAAGAGATACAAAGCAAAAAAAGGAACAAAGCACAGAGGGGAAGGGAAAAATGAAAGAAAAAATTCTAGTGACCTTATATTTCACTATATTTTTCTGCTGAATTCACCAGTGAGAGACTGAGGAAATGATCAGTAATGGTAACAGCTACATCTGTACTTATTGTACCCAAGCCACAATTGCACTCAGGTCTTCGTATAAATATCAAATTGATTCAAGTGAGATATTTTCTAGGAATAGAGGCTTCGAAATAAACCTGTATTTATACATTTTTACACAGGACACAGCAAAAATAGAATTCAGATCTCTCCTCAAAATGAACTATATAGTCCCAGCTCCTGTATGGTAAACAAAGAGCTCCCTTCTGCCTGGCAATCTAAGCAACCGGCATGCTAACAGTGCAGAAGTGTGACAGCAGCAGGGACAGCAAACCAAGGGACCCTAAAATAATGAAAATATGATTGCAGCTAATAACAAAGAGCTATCCTTTTTTCCTCCTGGCTCTCAGCTCTTGAATATGTTTGTTTTTTTTTTTTTTTTAAATTCGCAAGTCACTGGTTACTGCTTGTCAATAACCTATCTGTTTTTTTTTTTTTCCTCCCTAAGGAAATAAGAGTTTAATTTTGATCAAGAAAAGGAGGGGGGAGGAGAGGCATCACTCTGGGATTTACCTTAACTGTTTTGTCTCTTATGCATGTACATTCTTGGATGTATTGCACAATTTGAAACATTTAGGGACTATGCTCTCTGGAAAAACTCAGTAACAACACTCTGCAGAAGATCTAACATCTGATGATCTGCTCTCCAGCATACTCAAACCATTGGCACTAAGATCTTTGAAAGAAAAAACCAAAACAGCAGAAAACCTGTTATGTTTACATTATGGGAAGGAAACTAAGCAAGAGAGAGACTTGGTGCCTTTCTTGGTCTTATGTCTCACGGGATAGCCCTAACCTCTCCAGTCTCCGTTCCATGAAAATACTTGGAAAAATATTACATTTTTAAAAACCTGTTTCAAAAAGGCCCTTTAAAGTGCATACTTTTTTTTTTTTTTTTTTTTCCCAATCAGTGCTACTTATGTACTACAAGTGTGATGGCTACAAGGTTCGCAAAAGTGGGCATGCTAGTAATAGCATGAAGAACTTTTCACCTACATCACCAAACAGAGCATGACCTGATTTCAAAATGAATGAAAGAAAAATGCAGCTGCAGCTGTCAGGTAATACCGTAAAGAGAGTTGTGAAGGGAGTTTCAGTTCACTTCTGAGCAGACAGGTGTCTGCATCCCAAAAGCACCATCACAGCTGGCACAGACTGATGCTGTTGTTAGCAATCTCAGCAGAGAGGCCAAGCAGTGATCTGAGAGTTTATTTATAAATATTTTAGCAGACTGAAGAACCAGGAGGAGTTTTAAATTTACATTTCTTTATACATACTCCCACTCAGAATCTGTGAGCTTAGTAAATCTGTATAAAATCATCACCACGGCCTGACAATAGGATTTACAAGGGCAATGTACCCATAAAGGCAGACGCCTCCACTGACAAGCAGGCAAACTTGCTTTCCAAAATGATTTTAATTGCTAATTTTTTTTAATTCCCCAAAACATTAACACGCTGCTAATGAAGGCTACAACCACTACACCGTGCTCACCCTTACAGGGTCCCTGTTGTAGTGATGGGATGTTTCCCAGATGCAAAGAGTCAGCACTGAAGGCCAGGGGCGCTCAACACCGCGGGCCTAACCGTGCTCAGGACCGCAGGGCAGAAGATGGAAGGGCAGACACTTGCTCTGAAGGCTGCTAGAGGCTAACGCTGAGCAAATGAAGGGTAAACTACCACGCAGGGTGCATGGCGTGAAGTGAGGAGCCATCACTTTTGTCTGAAAAGCATCCTCTGTTTAATAGCAAAGCTTCGAGGAACAGTCCCAGCAGTTTTGACCTTCAGTTATATCACATCCCCAAGCAACCGCTGTACCAGCCTGGAGAGCCAGACAACTCAAGAGGACTCCAAAATGTGCTAATGGGTCAGTAGCACTGATGATGTTGTGAGGGACTCCTTCTAAATGCCCACTGTTACATATGGAGGAAAATAATGAGGCTAGAGAAGAGACACAAAGGTAATCTGCCCTCATGATTCAAAAGAGAACTTCTTCCCAAACGTTCCACCAACTCTACTCGATCTTTGTTCAGGAGGAAACACACAGGAGTTGCAGTAAATCAACAAGCTACCTCAGTTATTCAACCGTATCTGCAACAAGGTGACAAATGAAGCCTCGCTCACGTGACTCCCAGCAAATGCCTTCTTACCGTGAGACGTTTCGAGGCATCCACTTCAATCATCCCCCGCAAAAGGTTCTGACAGTCCGGGGGGATAAAATGTGGCATGTGGAACACTCCACGTTTCACCTTCTCCAACAGCTGCCGCAAGTTGTCGTCATCGAAAGGCAGGGCACCCTGCAGGGATGTGACAGTGGTGGGTGGGAGAGATGGGTGAAAGGGAGAGTGAGAGGGCAAAAGGAGAAAAGCCAGGATAAACACGGTGAAAGAATGGAAAAGAGAAAGTCAGCTCATAATGAATTATTGTAAGTGAAAAAAATTTTTTATCCATTGAAAATAAATCATTTCTTAGTGCTGCTGTATTTACTCCAACATAGGAAAGGAGACTGAGGACATAGGGTTTTCCTATTAGACCTTTAATTAGAAAATGACTACCAGTATAAAACATAATACAAAATATGAAATTGCCTTTCCAGGCAAATTCACCAAAGATGCATGGATTCACTTAAATTCAGCTCAAGCTTTTGATCTGCTGGTATTCCTCCCGGGCATACTTTCACAGCAGCAATGTTTATCATCTCCTTATTTTCAATCTTCTTGAGACACATTTATTGCAGACATTGAAAAGGAGCTGAACAGCATTTGAGAGACTTTCAGTGAGGAACATCCTCTTTCTGATGGAGCAGTGAAATGCCACAGCTGAAGGAAACCCTAACCAACATTAGCCTTTGTAAGCAGCAGACCTTCTACCTGTTTAATATACTCCATCCAGTTCCTATGCTGTGGTCAGGTCATCAGTTCCTATTGCTTCCCTACTATATCTCACTCACATAATTGGCTTGAGGTTTTTTTTAGCTGGAATTACATTTTGACCAGATCATCATCTTGCCACAAAAAGCACCAAAAGACCTATCCACGATGCAAGGACAAAAAGGAAAGAAGTAAGTTGAAATCTTTAGGATAACTCCACCAACTGAAGCTGATACCCTTTTATATCAAGTCTGCACCTTCCTAGATATTCTCGCTTCCTCCTTTCACTGCTAATCCTAGTAGGTGCCGAGCTTCCTTGATTTCCAGGATGGTTTGTGGGAAGCTGCAAGCTGTCAGCTGCTGTGATAATGAAGCTTTAAGTTGTCAATTGTGGCACTGCTCTTACTACGGCGAGTAGTGCATCTGTAGAAGCAATCCTGTGTCTGTGGTTTACGGGGACCAACAGCTCCTTTTGCAGCAGCCTCACAAAGCCCACCTGATGGAACCGCTACTGGGCACTGCTGGCTGTTGTTTGTTCATTCAAGTGGCCTTGAAGAAAGAGTCTCCCTTTTTTTTTGTAACCAATCTCCCGAGTTACCTACTTTTCCCCTAGCCGTTCCAGACTTAAAGGAAAATCAATTCTGATAGTTCAGTACTTTGGCTAACGCAATTTAAGCCACGATGAAGTCAGCAAGGCTGCTTTGTGGCGTTTCCTGAAGGTAACAACTACAGCTCTTTTATTACTACCACCTGCTATTATAGCTTGAGCCTTTTTGTAGGGTTTGTCCTGACATAATTAACTGGAGAGCTCTGCACTCTCCATCAATAATAGACTTATTTCAATCATTTTGCAGGCTCGTGTACATATGTAAGAACAGATGAAGATGCAGCAACAGAGAGACACCGTATCTTGACAGAGAATCCCCTCAAAATTAAAAGCTCACTCCTGCAAATCCTAACCATCTTGACACATTCTTTCTTCCATTCTTAAAAATTCAAGAAGTTATATTAAGAGCTCATTATACAGCTCCATTTCATCAGCCATGAAAATAGCTGCTCAGGAGCAATAGATGATCAGGTGGCATCTAGTGAGATAGTTAAAATTCTTCCCTTGCAACATCAGATAAAAAATCTGAAACTTCAAAAATGTCAGTGAATTGTAATGACTAAACAGAAAAGAAGCGTAAGATTGGTTAAGGTGAACTGAAGCATCATACTGAGACTACGTCAAGGTATTTTGATTTGGGCCATTAAAAAAAATCGTAAGCATATTTTTTGAAACAAAAATCCTTTAAAATTTTCAAGTATTTTAAACCAAAACAATCTGCCAAATCTACTCTAATTGTACATCGTACAAGTGCCTTTGTCAAAATAAAACATTTAAGTGAAGTAATTAGGTTTACTAATAAATGTACAAGGACATAAAAATTTGACTTCAGGCTTGTTATTTTTATAATTGTAGATGATCATCCAAGCTACTATAGATATAAAAAACTTAACATGCACATAAAATTTATTCTTATATACAGTATTCAATCTGCAGATGGTCTATGCTTATATGAACGTAAACTATATTTTCCTACATTACACTATGGAAATTGATAACAAATGCCAAGCCTACCTGCCTTCAGCTGGACATCCAATTGTTGGATGTCTAGGAGTATTACATTACCACTGCAAATCAGAATAAATTCCACAGGGAATTGAAACTTTGATCGAAAGAAGGATAAGTTACAAGATACCACATTTTGAATACTAAAGAAAGCATTACTGAGCCAGATGGAAACTAATTTAAACTTTGTACTACTGGCTCAGTTTTATATTCCCAAGTGTACCAAATTAAAATGTAGCTCGACACTTGCATGAAACAAAATTGTTGCACTCAAATCTTCTCTTGACAAAACACTGCAGTTAACGTATGTATATACCTGCTGAAACACATATATACATACAGCAGAAGAAGCAAACACTTCCCAAACCCAGCCATATTTTGATCCTGTGAAGGACAACTTCTTTGACACTCTCTGTATTCTGGAGTTGTAACCCTGCACATCCTTTCCAGTCAAAAAATGTGCTGCAATATCACAACGCAGCAAGGAGTATTTATGGAGACAAGTTTCTGATGCTTGTCTATGCTCTCCTGTGCAGGGCAGCAGCATTTCAAAGAAGCAGTGAAATATTCCTCATGCTTTTCCTTTGGGACTGATGTAGAAATAAGAGGAAAGCATGCAACTGAGAGATACAAAAATAGGGGAACTAAAAAAACTCATCTGTACATGATGTCAATAGAATCGCCATTAAATACGGCAGCATTTTTGGATTTTTCTTTTCTTTTTAAAGGATAACGCAAGGAAGATGACTCACCACTAGCAACGCAAATAAAATGACTCCACAGCTCCAGACGTCTGCTTTCCTTCCATCATATTTTTCTCCCTGCGCAGCAATGACACAGAGGTTCAAAAGACTGCTCCCTAGTAAATGAATTAATTATCCTTGAAGAACAAGAGAGGGGAGAATGGGAAACCCCACATTTCAATTCAGCCACGTGCTTCCCGAGGTGGCCTTCCCAACTAGGAGGCCACGACACAGCCCATTAATTGAATTTTTATGAACATCGGTTTACAGTCTTATCTGGGATCTGCGAGAGCAGGCTCAGAAGTGGGGAGCAGGGCAGGAATGGCTGACAGCTCACAAATGATTAGACCTGGCACTTAAACAGTGTCAGAGGTGCATTAAGGATGTCAGGAAGGTGTTTTTCTCTTCCCTGGTTCTTCAGGGAGCTTGCCACCGGTCACATTATTTGTGAACTCATAATGGCGTCCAGACAGTCTCTTCTGCACGCTTCCTGCTTGGCTTTACGTTAAAGATATGTTTTAAAAGAGGGGAATCTTGGCCGCTGAAATCTTGCATACTTATTTTCAGAGGACAAAGGGGGAGCAGAGGGAAAGGATAGTTCATAGCGTTTAATGGAAACCAACACCACTGACAGCCAACCCCGTTTCTTCCACTGAAATGACAGCTACATCAGAGACAGGAAAGCATAGGGGACTGCATCCCCTGGGTGGAAAGATCAAGTTAAAGGAGGCTAGTGTATTTCTGTCTGATCACATGGCACGAAGGGTACTGTGAGAATCGCACACGATCATCTCCCTCATACGGTCGATGTGGCCTGATTCGGGGCTGAGCCAAACAAACAAAATCACAGCTACGTTCCTCGTGCCCTTTCCAATCCTGTCTGCCTCGGACAGATTTCCTGTACAGAGGCTCTGTCTGTGCACTTGTAATGAGTGGCACTTTAAAAAATATATTTATGCGCACTAATGTTAACCAACTTACCCGGATGACTTCAGGGCAAGCATAATGTGGTGATCTGAAAGACAAAAAACAGTCAGATGAACACGTAACAGGTTGGTATTTATGGATCACATGCATTTCCATTTTGTTTAGCAGAATCATGACTGGCTCTCTTATAAAGAACGCAAGTGTGTAAAACCAGCCCATTTTTCCTTGCCCCAATGAGAACACATTTCTAAGGAACTAAGAAAATGGTCAAGACTTAGCATAATTCAAAATTCTACGGCCCTGCTAGCTATGAATTTCTTAAAAGTGAGGAAGGACAAGAAGACCGGGCATATTCTGTGACTATATAGAATTCCAGCTCTCTAATCCCACCCTTTAACTTGGCCTCGTACCTAATTAGAAGGAAGGCCCACAGTGGATAGCCTTTTATAAGAAAAAAGATAGAACAATATTTTCAGACGAAACACATGCATCCCTAAACCGTATCTTGCATCTCTTCTGCTAATATTGCTCTCAATTACTTCAGCGGTCATAAAAGCTGCCGATACGTTATTTCAACATGCAATTTTTTTTTCCTTTTAAAAAACTAAAAAGGATGGACAGTAGTACTATTACCTAGTGAGTTAATATATTCTTTTCACATCCTTCTACCCATATATCTCTGGTTTGATTCCTGGCCGAGAATAGTTAATTACTTCAACTTGCCAGGTAATAATTTTAATTCCTAAAGATTATAGCTTCGGCTCTTTATTTTATAGCCTTCATTAAAGTAACTTGACAAGTAAAAGGGATGCAAACTGTCTGAGACCTGTGTGAAAATCACGCTATTGTTTATACTGACACCTCCCAGCAGTCCCTGAGCCTGTCTTCATTTGTGCATTTGTTTCTTGTGACAAATGCAATCATGTCTGGGCAATACCTGTCTCACAAAGTAATGAGCAAAACAGAAGCACAGTGAGGTTAGCTTTGTGCTAGGATGCTACACTAATGCCCAGTGAGACAGCCCATTAATTGAATTTCCATACACACTACACTTATCTTATGGCAAAATATTGTCCCATGGGCATGGAATGCCCTGATTTGGTATCACAGCTTTTGGCGGACCATGATAATAAACTCAGGGTACACTTGGGACTGCAGCTACCTTGACAGCAAAGCTTAAGCGAGGAGAGAGAAATGCAGCTGATCCCTCACAAATTCTAGGAAAGGTGGAATTCAGAAGATTAGTACAATATTTAATAGCCCCCCACCTCCCCATTTAAGAGGTTATCACTGGTATTCTAACCAGGTCTATTTCCTCAGTAGTGATCCCAAGTGTCTTAATCTAGAATGGATTTTAAAAATCTGACTCAATTTGAGAGTCAAAACAGATATTGGAAACCAGAGCCTTCCCTCAGAGAGCTGGCCAGAGGTGGTCTTTGGGAGATCAAAAAGAATGGACTTGTGCCTAGTGGGTAGGACAAACTACCTGGGCTCTCCTGACAGCTCCATCACTGCAGCCATATGGACATGGACAAGGTTACTTCTCATTTTTAAAAGCTGCAGCTGGCCACACTTTGAAAAAGGTAACCAGAACCTCACCACGAGTCTACTCCTCTGACTAAAACAAGAGCAATGCCACCACAGCTTTCATAACTCACAGAAATTTGTATGACTGAATTCACTGGGATTTGTATGGGGCTGCAACCCTTTAGGGCAAAAGCTTCTATAGTAACAGAGTGTGATGGCAACAATAATGAAATAAAGCTAAAGCAGTCAGCAATGTTAATAAAATTGTTGCTTCTTGACTAAGCGGGGGCTCGTTTGGGGGATTTACAGCATATTGCTGGAGAGAAAGTAAGGCCAGAGTGAGACATTGAATTGCTTAACATTATGTACATGTTCCCATCCCTCCAACGTATATTGTTCCCTGTGAATTTGATTATTTATAGCAATCCAACAGCTACTATACACCTGTTCTTTTTAATACCCCAAAGCCTTAACCACTGAACAATCACGCCACTAGACTAATGCATGACTTTCCAAACTTCTAGAAGGCAAGTTAAATTATTGTTGTGAGAATGCCCGATGACTTGGTGGTGACTTTTTCTCATATCAGAAAAAACAGTGTATAGTGTACAGGCTTCTTTAAAGTACACACAAATCAGAATGAAGGAGCAGCGCCAGAACAGGCTGCTAACCCAGGACTGGACAAGCACAGCCAACTGCCAGCAGTGCTGGATTGCTTAGACAGCACAGTGAAAAAGGGCAGTATGGGAGCTGTAGGGAAGGTAGTAATGCAACTATAATTTGGAAAAAACCCACGGTAGCCAAAAAAGTATAGGAATTACATCAGATCATGAACGTTCACTCAGTTTAGTCACCTCAATAGAAAACCCAGTTCTAACGTGTTCTGTATAACTGAGTCACATTAGGTTTATTGGAAAACATATCAGGGTGTAACAAAGGAGTGAAGACACAATCTAGAAAATTGCTGAGCTCCTGTTACTTAGCGTGTCTGAGTTTCTCAGTCTGGCATGCATTTTGGCTTCTGCCAGGTATGATGCCACCACTGCCTTCCCTACAGAAGGTGAGTCATGAAGACACACAGCACATTAAATGGCTACTACAGGGGGTGTCTGTGGCTGGGCTAGAAACTTAAGCCAGGCCTCTCAAATCCTGCCTGGTATCCTGTACAGTTCAGCATCATCCCTCAGCACAATACTTTCTGGGTGGCCATGCCATCTGGGGTGCCCTGGAAGAGTCAGTATCTCAATTTGCAGAGTGCATCTGAGTTTTTATTTGTATATGATGCCTCCAACAAAGATTTCAGAGCAATGCAACTACCTTGACAGCTTCCTGTGCGAACATCCTTGAAGAGAAGAATTTAAGTGTTGTGAAGAACCCAAGATAGGTACATACCTATTTATGTGTCCCACCAGCAAATGCACTTAAAGCATTTACCTTCCTGAGGCCAGCTGGAGTGCGGTGGAACCTGCTAGGTGTCTTACAAGGCACCACTGAAATTCTGCTAAGATCTAGGAGAACGGGTGGAAAAAAAGCTACAACAAATCGTTTGAACAAGTTGGATTGATTCAGTCATTCAACAGCTGCACTGCTACTGCCCAGAGAGCACAGGTTTCTGGCACAGCCGTTCTGAATTCTTGCCAGCACACACTAGCTAGATATCTGCAGCATTATCTTGGCTAACAGCTCTAAAAGGGATCCTCCGGCCAGCCAGAATCCACAGAAAACCCATTTCCATGCTGCCAATCATAGAGCAACTTGAACTGCTTTAAAGAGAAAACTCAAATTTAATCAAAAAATCTATTTATCTTTCTACAGTCATGAATATTTCTTTAGCTCTTATCACTAATTATTCAATATACGTGTGTCAAGAGCAGCGTTCCCTGTCTCTTCCCCTAGGCCATCTCCTCTCCATTCAGCTACATCTCTGTGCAGCAAAAGCCACAATCTGCCCTTGATAACAAACAACTATATCGCTCAGCAAGATCAAGAAGCAGTTGCTGCCTGTGGGTACTGCTGCAAAAAAAGCACCGATGTTGGCAGTGTTTATTTCAAGGGTGACATGGATTTTCCCAGGCTAGTCTGCCTGGGACAGGAAGGGCTCTCTGACTGGTCATTCGCAGCTCTGACTCTAAGACACAGTAAGTTTAAGGATCTTGAGGGACCTTAGAAAAGCATTTACGTGGGATTTCAACCAGAGGAAATAAGCCAGAGTACCATGGTGAAATCCAGGACAGGTAAGTCAGGCATTCAGAAAGAAATGTGTATATCCTTCGTGTATCTACCCCGAATTCCATCCGAGAAACTAGAAAAGTAGTTCTTGATCTGTGCACATCAAGGTACAGTGCAGCTACAGCAGATCTGAGACAACCAGGGCCATATCTTCAGTGCAGATGTGACCTACGGGTCTTACTAGGGAGGTAAGAGAGACCTGCACTGTGCACACACAAATCAACTGCCCATGTATGGTTTATCTGGGAATATACGGTTTCTCTGGAGAAGCAGCTGGTTGATGAAGCAGCACAGGGAAAGCTGTGTGATCCTACTCCACAGTGTGACAAATCATGTGTTACACTGCCTGATGAGTTCCCAGGTCCCATCAAAGATGGGTGTCCACGCCTGGGTTCTTCGGTCCATGCCTCAAGATGGTACTATTTGGGGAAAAAGAAAAGCTTCTTGAAGTGCCATTCTTTAGGCCTCACAGCTGGAGGCAGAGTTTCTGTAGGGAGGGAAGAACAAGAAGTCTCCTTCCTTCTGTTTTACTTATGCATGAAGTTACCTTGATACAGAAGGTTGTGCAGGTGCACTGAAGTCCTCCCATGCCTAGCTGGTTTTGGTGTTGCTCGGATGCTCCAGTCCCTTCCTTGCCCCCTGTTCAACACCATCTCCGAGCTGGCCTTCAGAGACAGAAGCTACTCACTAGCACAAAAGGTTGCCTGTGCTTTCCCCCCATGCTGGGTAGCAAAGGGTTGAGATAAAGGGGAACGCCAGAGGAGTAGCAAAATAGCTAAAGGGACTTCTTCAAGAGAAGGATGTATGTTAGAGCAGCCTGAGTGGAGAAAGCAACAGCCACAGATCACACGAAAAGGTAAGAGAGGGAAAGACTGAAGAAACGGTGCTGGTAGCAGTGGGTAGTTAAGGCTGCGGTGAAGGCTGTAGCTGTAGGTAAGACTGTAATTAAGGTAGCAGCTGTAGTTAAGGCTGAGAGCTGTTTTGCCATTAAAGCTTCAACTCAGGCATTTAACTGTATATGAGAAAATTCAGCATCTAGCCCTCAGCCATCTTACAGCTGTTTACTCCTCAAGCGCAATCACATTTTTGAGGAATCTGCAAATCACTTCATTAATTAATATATCAGTTCAAATTATTAAGACTTGGAACCTTTAAGAGATCTTAATTTAAAAAATTAATCAGACCCTTGTACTAAAAGGGCATAAAGATTGCAAAGTTAAGTATTCAAAAGTTAAGAATTTTTAAAATACAGCTTAAAGAGATTATACTGTACTCTGAAGGTACATTAGGGTGGGGCGGTAGATTTGTTGCTGTCCCCAACACCTCTGTTTT